TCGTTGGTCATTCAAGTATAGATTTTATAAGGGTTGATTCAACTAGGGATTATGGTGATCTAGATGGGGATAGTTGGACTGATCAAGAAACCTTGCTGCTGCTTGAGGCAATGGAGATTTATAATGAGAATTGGAATGAAATTGCTGAGCATGTTGGTACCAAGTCAAAAGCACAATGTATTCTTCATTTTCTCCGTCTACCCATGGAAGATGGAAAATTGGAAAATATCAATGTTCCAAGAATTCCGTTGTCATCAAACATGTCAAACAGAGATGACTGTGAAAGATTGTGTTCAAATTTAGAAGCAGATTTAGCAGGTCTTGCTCCGTTTTACATTTTAACCTTCTACTTGCTGTCACATGGTCTTGATCGTGTATCCATGATCCTGCAGGACCAACTCAGAGCATTGATCCCAGTAGCAGGCTCCCCTTTTCAAAGTCTGAAAATCCTGTTATGGCTCTTGTAGGTGACTGATAATTAATAATTATATGCATTACTTTTATCATTTCTTAGAAGAGTTCACGTGAGACATGCATATAGCTGTAGGGCTAGGATGTATTTATTGGTTACAGCGAATGCATATAAGAGCAAACTCTTGTCTTCCGCTAATATCAACTTGTTTTGCTCCTTTTTTGGATTAGCACCTTTTTGAAAATCATACTTGTTTGGCAAAAGCAAAGATGGCTGTACTCAAATCCAATATTATACTAATTTGAATCTCTACATTTTGGAATAATGCTTGACAAGTATGCTCGTAATAATCATGAAATAGGATATTTCTGTTGGATAGAGACTTTATATAAGTCCTAGATCGAGTATAAGGATTTCACGACAAAGTAGACTGTCACTTAGATTTTGAAATTCCTGACTTTCTTGTGCTTACTCGGATTCTTATGTATCTGGTTTTGATGGAACTCATGTACAGGTTGCCTTTTTGGCCTCTGCTATTGGACCTAGAGTAGCTGCTGCTTGTGCACATGCAGCATTAGCAGAATTGTCGGAGAATAATTCCGGTTCACAGACAGAAGCAGCAGGGCACAGTAACAGGTGAGTTTAATTGTCATAGGTTGCTGATGTCTAGTCACTGTAGCCCTATGTCACCCTTCTTCACTGTGCATAGAAAAGAGGTATGTCTTATGCAGGTGCTTAGGAGAAGGCCCGTGAACGATACTATTAATATGTCCAATATATAGCCCCCTCATGCTAAAGCTTTTCCGCCTTGTAGCATGAATAAAGCATAGACCCTCCATGCATTGCTGTAATTTAATTTAGAATGGTCAGCTTGGATCGAACTTGTGATCACTTGATTAGAGACTGATGCTATGTCAATGACCTTCTCTAAATGATTTTCTCATCGGTCTTCTTTAGGCCATGATTAAATATCAAGTTATGTCATCATCTTAAAACTGCAGCAGAGAGGGTACATCTAAGCTATAATTGAGTTGTTAGATTGATCACTTTTGTCTATGACTTTTGTGCTCAAAATTGAGATTTATTTCTACTCGCGAAGGATGAACTTGGAAAGTACACATGCTAAAGATGGTGGTCGTCTTGGAGAAATTGCAAACCCAAACCAACAAGATGGTAAGGGATTGCGATTTATCTTTATGTATCAATATAACCCAATCTCTAGTAGGACACATTCTTCAGCACTCTTGAAACATTTCTTATTATTTCAGAGGACGAAGCTAAAGCGCTTGGTTCCCGGGGTCCAAATGAGGGTGAGGCCATCCCTTTATCTGCTGAGAAAGTTAAAGATGCTGCTAAGGCGGGCTTGTCTGCTGCAGCAATGAAAGCTAAACTGTTTGCTGATCATGAAGAAAGAGAAATTCAGAGGTTATGTGCTAATATTATAACCCATCAGGTATAGCTGTTTCTTGATTTTTCAGCCTGTTTTTGAGTTGTATTCCTTCTCTTCTCTGCCCACTTTCTATCTGAACGCACATACATGCACACACAAGTACGCTCAACACGAGTAAAAGATCACTTAGTCCATTATATAAATGAAACTGTTGAAGGAAAGTTAAGAATCAGTATTATAAAGCTACAATTTTTCTGAGGTTAATTTTGTCAGTGGCTTGCTATTGTTGACAGCTGAAAAGATTGGAATTGAAGCTCAAGCAGTTTGCCGAAATTGAAACGCTGCTGATGAAAGAATGTGAGCAAATGGAGAAGGCAAGACAAAGGTTTGCTGCTGAACGTTCCCGTCTTTTATCAGCATGGCTTGGATCTGGTGCAGCCACAAACACATCAGGTGTTGGTCCTTCTACAGTTAGCAACAATAATGGCAACGGTAGACAACAAATGGCCTTTGGATCTCCTTCACAGCCTAGTGTCTCAGGGTACTCAAGTGGCCAACCAGTTCATCCACACATGTCCTTTGTCCCACGGCCTTCTATGTTTGGTGGGTTAGGGCAAAGGTTACCACTTTCTATGATACAACAATCACAATCAACTTCTCCAAATCCCATGTTTAAAGCCCCAGGTAATGTGCAGCCTTCTACCAATCATCCATTGTTGAGGCCTGTATCAGGTACTAACTCCGGTTTAGGTTAATTAGGGAATTAGATGTAAGTTTCGGTGCTTCTATGGTGTAGATTTATTTTGTCATTGCTTTCAGCATTGAAGAGGAAATTAGGTGATGAGTCCAGCGAGTTATTGTTTCTAGTTTTTGGAGCCTCTAATTGGTTGCTGCTGATTATGCAACCCCTGCTCAAGGGAAATAAGCGGCGTTTGATATTCCCTGAAAGTTCCAAGTTTTCCTGTTGAGGTTCTGCATTTTTAGGATGAGAATTTGAATCCTGTTTAGTTAGCTTACACAAGGACAGATAGCAGCTCCGGATTGCAAGAATCATGATCAAGCCGTGGTTACTAATTGTATCAATTGCCTTGATGTTGTACGATCTAGTAAATTATTTCGTTGTTATCTTCACTTCTCTGGCTGATGACATGGGCACAGGGCGGATTGCGTTCGGTTATTCCAGCCTATGCCACCATTTGACTATAAAATCCAGAATGTGACGTCCTCTTTTCCATATCAGAAATTGAAGTTTAACGGGTTCCTTGGCCAACAGAGTAACTAGGGATTTAAAAAGAAAAAAGAAGGCCGACCAGTGAACTGAATTATAACAGATGAGCCAATTCAGTTATTCCAGCCTATGCCATCATTTGACTATAAAATCCAGAGTTTGACGTCCTCTTTTCCACATCAGAAAGTGAAGTTTGATGGATTTCTTGGCCAACAGAGTAAATAGGGATTTAAAAAGAAAAAAGAAGGCCGACCAGTGAATTGAATTATAACAGATGAGCCAATTCATTGAATACGGAATGTCAAGAGTGTTATTACTGTTCTATTGAGTGTTAACTTCAAATCTGAAGCCTCTGGCCACTGGAAGCCACCCCTTGATGCATAAGCCCCCTAATCGGGAAGTTGGATATCCATTAAATCTTCTCCTGAAGGAACTTGACTCGTTTCCAATTACTCAGTTCGAATAAAAGTAGTCTGCAAAACCTTTTTTTTGCAATACCCCCCCAATCATAAATTACATTATGAAAAGGGTAATAACATTACAAAATGAGTTCTATTTTTCTAACATTTAGAACTGAAGGAGCATTATGAGTGGCTTTCTGTAGGAATTTTTTTTGTTGAAAAAGAATATATTATTTTGGGGGTTGGGGTTTCAAAATTAAACAAAACACAACCAAGGCAACAACGATGAGACGGCTTGCTCCAGAAGATCCCCCAATAATGGCGATGATAAGACTAGTTGTTATGGCAATACCAGACCTGGTCACCAAGTTTCTCATCCATCTCCGCATCCTTAAATCTAAGAATCCCTGCAGAGAGGAACAACCTTTGTTAATAAATTTATGGAATTTTATCGCAAAGCTTCACTGAATTAAATTGATATTTCCATGAAATGAATCAAACAAATCATGAATAGGCATGTTCATAATTAATCCTGGCTATCAAGTCTCTTATAGCTTGATCCAGTCAATTGTAATCTTGCAAGGCAAGACAGTTCGAGTATTTGCTTTAAATATGATATATTATCTCTCATGCAACAATCCATTCCTATCTTTACGCAAAGTGACAAATACAAGAAAAGGAACAGAAAGCACATGCATATGTTCTCTCTGATGCCTCAAGCCAACAGCTCTACAACGCTTAATTACCATTTGAGCCATTCTTTCATCCAAACGTCTTGTGCCTATTATTGATTCTTTTCTAACAATATTTTCTGTATATTTTAATCATTGCTGGGATGAAAGTTACTCACAGCGGGATTGGTATACTGACTCCACATTCACCACAGATAATTTCCCCACCCTATTCAAACACTCATCTTATCCTCCATCTCATCTTAGCTTTATTTTCATGTTTAACGGTTGAGACTTGACATGCACGTCAAATAATAAAGAAATTGTTTGGCGGGAAACAGGTCTTCTCTTTCTTCTCAATCAAAAGAGAGCATGTTCTCACAAATCGGGATCATGTGAAGTAGTCAAGATTCACGAGAATATACTTTCTTTTGATTAAGAAGATTCGTTTCTGTAAATTCTTCTATGCTAAGAGTGGCTATTTTTAGAGTGCTCTGCATCCATCTACAGAACATCAAATATTAGGTTAGCTACCGTTTTCTACCTAAATTGCTATACTGACAAATGCATCCACTCCAACCTAATATTCGGTATCTTTTGTTTTGTTTTTACCCAAACATTGTGCGCCTTAATGATTTTGGATACTGACATATACTGATACTGTCATGAACCAGAACAATGAACGATGAAAAATAATTTAATTATTGGGAAATTAGTTTTGGATCAATGATAAAAAGGGGAGACCACGATGGTTTCCAGGATAGAGGGCGTGGCTGTCATCTTGAGGTTTGGATCAGTGACAGCTAGAGGGTCCTATCCTGATTCTGAAGTGTGACGTTTCTATCCGAAGTGGAAAATGATGTCCAATGGATTCCTTGACCAAAACAGTAGTAAATCAGAAGGAGGCGGAAAAAGGAAACATAAGACAAATCATTGTATTCATCGAATATAGCATGTCAATATTCTCAAGCCAAACTGTACTGTTAGAACTTAACACATGCTTCTTAATTTATTGGCCTTCATTTGGGCATCCCTGATCGCACGAGTAAACATTAAAAAACTGAAAGCTTCATCTAACTACTTTGAAGACAGTTACAATCACACATAGCTAGGAAGCTTCTTGGTAAATCCTTAGTCTGGAAGTTGGATATCCCTTAAATCCTCTCTAAAAGGAATTGGACCCAATTCCATGTGGGTTGGCTCTGGAGAGTCGTTCTGAGTCTCTATGAATGTATCGACAGTGTCGTGTCTGAAGGTGAGGTAGATAACGGCAACAACATAAATGGCCATAAGAGGAAATACTATGATCCCAATGATAACGTTTGCCACTTTCGGGAGACTGCTGTGAATTAGCCACTCCACAAAACCTGTGCTTAGGTAGTACACGTTGATGCCAATGATTCCCAAGCCCAGGATCCATGAAATTACAATGATCTGCAGCCAAAATTTGTAGCTCATTTCATTTATCAATAAAATGTTATGAGACTCATTTATTTGCAGCCTAACATTGGACAAGAGAACAACTCACGATTCTAGAATTCTTGTGAGGTCCCATCTTGGTGCTGCTGCTGCTGAACTTGAGCAGTGGAATCAAAGCAAATGGAAGTTCAAATGAAAGTATCATCTGCAAAGCCATTTTTGTGATTATTTTGAAAAGAGAAGAGAAAAACAAAAGAAATTATCCATATTAAAAAGAAAAGAGCTACCGAGGAAATGATAATAAGGCGGCTCGCACCCGAAGACCCGCTGATAACAGCAACGACAAGACTAGGTACTATGGCAACACTCCTAGTCATCAAATTCCGCATCCATTTTTTCATCCTCAAATCCAAGAATCCCTACCAGGCCAGACATCGACTCGCAAATAAATTTTCAAGCACTTCGAAAATAAATATATATGACTTGTTTATACATTTTATTTAGTTGACTTGTTCTGCAAATCTTTTATTACAAGAGAGTTCAAGTGTTTGCTTCAGATATAGCACCTGCATGATGTACTGCCCTGCATAGGTTCCAGTGATGGTAGAGCTTTGTCCAGAGGCCAAAAGTGCTATGGCATACACTGTTGAGCTGGACCTTCCCAACACATTCTGTAACCATTAAACAGCATCAAAATGGGTATTGATTTACATGTTATGACCTCTTATGGTGTATGTTAAATAAAGTCAGAACCTTGAGAAGAAAAGAGGCAGAATCAAGGGAGAGATCGTCGCATTTTTCTATATCTCCAGCTGAAAGATTATTTGCTGAGCATACTTTGCCTGATACTGAAACCACTGCTATGTTTATTAGAAATGCTACAAACAGAGCAAACCCACTTTCTATTAGAAAGTATCTACATGCGTCCTGCATAGCGAAGTGAAAAGTATGATATGATAACAACAACTTAGCTTTAGCAAAACTGAGTAATGTTAGCTGCGCAATTTCAAATATTAAGTTCAACTGATGTCCTTTAAACATTTCTCTTAGGCAAATTTAGTACTAAACAAATGAAGATGTGTTGGCTTACATTGATGCCACGGACAGAGTTGGGTACTTTTCTAGAGAGCACAAGAGCAGAATGGAGAAAGAGGTTGTGCCTGCAATTTGTTGGAAAGCTTAATAAAATGGTGCTTTAGCAGAAAGGTAAAATTTTCAAGTGCCATGATAAGGAAGGGTACGGCATTATGAGTGCTCCAAAAAGGGCAATGGCGTCAGCAGTGGCTCCATGACCATCAAGCCTAGGGACAAACATTCCTTTCAATACATCAGAAGCTGGTGGTTTTACATAGCTCATTTCCGCAAAGAAGCATCCTGCCATTATAAATACTAGAGTTGTTATCAGCAGTTCCAGCTTCCTAACCTGCTCATCAAGAAACACAAACTTTTGTAGGACATTTAAGTGGACAAAACGCCACTGAATAACAGCAGCGGTTACTTAAAATGCATATAACATTAACAGGAATTAAGAAGGAAAAAGGGAACAGATGGTGAATCAAATGTCCAATGAAATCCTTCACTGAAAAAAAAAAAAAGCTGGATGAAGTACGCCAAATCTCTGGAGACCAAGAAGCAAAAGAGTGGAGAAGCCTGTCAAGAGAACTCCTGCCCATAGTGGGATGTGGAACAGTATGTTGAGCGCAAAGGCTGTGCCAACAACTGCGCAAAAGTTTCGTAAGAAAAATGAGTATAAACAAGGATGTCCGTGTTAGAGTAGTACCAAATGAATCTTATTTTGGAGTTTAATTTATTTAGAATGGGGAAAACAAAGTATTAGAAATACCTTCGGCTATATCCGCAGCTATGACAGAAATCTCAGCCAGCAGCCATAAGCAGTACTTCACTAGTGATGGGTACTCCACTTTACATAACTCTGAAAGGTGCTTCCCTGCCATTCAGAATAATTATATTTATCCAAAAGTCGTATGATCATTTCGCGTGATGAAATCACATGTCTGTGGCTCTTTATTACCGGTGGTTACACCAAGATTTGCCGCCAATGACTGAATAATGAGAGCAAAAAATAACCCAATAAGTATCACCCATAGCAGCTGCAAAAGGCAATCAGAGGACACCCCCTCGATTAAGTTTCATACATGAGAAACAAGGACAAAAATAATGAAGGGTTTTCAATCCAAAACTTGTTCTTCTTTTGTTGCTTTTTTCTTCTGCATGACTTTATTGTTGGTAATTAATTGTATCGCTGAGTTTTGTTGCTTGTGTGGTCTACCTCATATCTGTGGTTAGCTCCAGCTTGCAGGTCAGTTTCCACTAGATTACAGCAAACGAACATACAAATAGTTATACAGATTATAGAAAACACACGCACGCAGGCGCGCAGAGAGAGAGAGAGAGAGTTACAGTTTCCAGGATCAAGGTAAGCCATGGACACCAAAAAACCAGGACCTACATGGGATAGAAAGTCCCTCCACCTGGGTTTCTGTATTTCATTGTAAGTTCCAAAAGAATTAATATTAGCCTGAACTACTTAGCCAGAGTCATAATATATGGTAAATAAGGATACATGGATTATAGAAAGAGTCAGGAAGAGAGACCTTGTGACTGGAGAAACCATCATCAACATGAGGTGCTGGTGCTATACGATTGCTTACAACTTCAACGGCTCTCGATGGCATGGCTGCTTCACTATCCTGCTCACGCTGCCTTTCCATCTCTCTCTCTCTCTCTCTCTCTCTCTCTCTCACTGATCGATTATTAAAGCCTGTGTTTGCAATGAACAATGAGCTATGTGAGTATATATATAGACACACACACAATTGTAGTATATTTATATGTTATTGTCAGACTCATAAGGTAAGGCTTACTTCCAACTTTCAAGTCTATACCCAACTTGTGTACCAGATATGAGTATTAAATTGCCCATTTTGGTATTTAACAATTCATTTTGCATCATACATCAGCTTGTCTTTAGTTTATTCTTCTTTGGCTTCATCTGATACATGTAATATACAATCCTTTCAATTTCTTTAACAAGCAACAACTATAAGAAACAGGCACCGGCAAAGTGCATTTATATATAAAAATAGATTGGTGGACATTCTTCATTATTTATCATACAAGTTGTTTTCTATAGATTAATTTTCTAATATAACTAAGATGATAATGAGTTGACATGTTACCTTCGCCTTTTAATATAAGAGCTAGTTGACTAATTTGAATAAATTAAAAAAATTAGTTGAGATAGTTATTCATAATAAGTAGGTGTTGTCTTTCTCAAAATATTCTTGTTAATTAAATATATTGACGAGAACTACAATTATTAAAAGGATTATCTTGAGAAACAAATGAATAAATATAAAAGACAAAGTGGATTGGGGTCTTATATTTAGAACCAAAATAAAAGTTAAACAGTTTTTATATTAATGACTGGAAGTAATACTGTGGAATGGAATTTGAAATTGTGGGCTAATAACTTAATTTTTCAAAATATTTTACATTTACATTAAATTATAAAATAGTCCTTTCAGTTTTCAATTTAAGATTTTGATCTGTTTTGTTTTTGTTATTTAATTTTTTTTTTCATATTATGCTTGTTCAGGATTTTTTTTTTTAATTTGGTATTTTAGGTTTTGAAGGATACTTGGCACGCTAATATTGTAAGCAAATGCCAAGTGAAATTTTTTTATTAGCCCAAATTAAATTTATCGACGTGGCTTCATGAGAGGGTTGTTTTTTTTTATTAACCCAAAGGTTACAATTAAGAGTTAAAGTCACATGGTCTAGAGGGAAAAATACCGCATCTCGTGTGTGCATAATGCCTTCGACTCCGATAGCAACATTAAACACAACTTGCACCGAGGGAATTGCAATTCCGACGAAGATGGGTCCCGTCTTTTCTTTTCCCTCCTTTTTCGTTGACGAGGATTTGAACAAACCCCAAAAAAAAGAGGAGAGGGCAAGGGGAAGAAAAAGGAAACGGAAAGGCCCCTGGTCCCAATTTCAAGGGGGATCGCAATTTAGGAATTAAATATTACTCATTTTGTTCTTAATATAAAGTCTAATTATTAAGTTAATTTCGATCCTAAATATAAAACTTATTTTTTATATTTATTAATTTTTTTTAAATTATCCCTATGAATCTCCCTCAACTATAATCAAGTAGAAGAGGGAGAAAGGATATTAAAGAAGATGATTATGGTGTTTTAGGAAAAACATGTTATATTTTTTATAATTAGCTAACTTACCTAATTTTCTTAATTTAATCAAATTAATTAAATAAGTCTTATATTAAAAATTGAAAGAGTAGAATTGTAAACAACAAATCAACCAAACCCGAATCATCTGTTGTACTTCCCTAGAGCCTTTTATTTCAAGAAAACAAAACGATATATACACGATTAAATTAAGCTGTCTTCAAATGATTGCAAAGGATCTCACCATTAGTTTTGTTTAATTTATTCTTGTTGTGTAAATTTATTTTCAATTTTGTCCTCATAAGTTTAAAAGGTACATTTTTAATCTTTTAATCTTAAAACTATCAATAAAAAAATGATATTATTTAGATTTTAAATGTTTATATAATATTTTTTAATTTTTAAAATAATAATGATTGTTACAAAAAAATCAGCAATTAATACTGATGATTTTAATGTTAAAGAATTAAAAATATACTTTTAAAAATTAAGGAATCAAATTAAAATTTTATATAAAGCTAAAAAAACTAAATATACATTTTATTTTTAAGTGCCTTCAGCTTTCCCTAAATTTAATAACTAAGGAAGATAACTTGTTGTGAGTAAATCAAATTCTCTCCTTCGCTTCTATCCTAGCTCTCAAGACAGTGTCTTATTTGTGCCCCCGAAAAAAAAAAAAAACAGAGAGGATATTCAAATTAAATTAAGGGTCCATGTCTTACATACAAGTTGAAGCAAGTCAGTGTTCATAGCTTATAAAGCTGTAACTTATATATATATATATATGGATATTATATAATTTGCATAGAAATATTGACGGACATAAAACAAAATTCCAAAAGAACACAAAGGTGAAGAAGGGTGCTTATAATTCATTTCCCACCGCTATATATTTACAACATAATACTAAACACCTCCCACCTCCGCAAAAGAAGCTCAGCAATACCACTTTAGACATCAGCAGGCATTAGATAATTTTCCCATTTGATGTTGGTTATGAGAAAGCTCAGTAACCCAGTTTTTTTCAAAAATGAACCCCAGTAACTCTGGTTTTTTCAAAAACCATCCTCAAACGAAATTAAGTCTCAAAGAGACGCTGCAGGGAAGCAAGGTTTTGGAGCGCAAGAGTTCCTCAAAAAAGACCATATCCGGCCCAGGCCCATTCTGGATCGCTCCTGGGTCGAGGAGAAGACATGTTTGACCGAGACGACGAGCACGACGTCCTTGAGTCATGGAACGGCGACAGAGATTTGCTGGATGTCTCGAGATCCGATGTGTAATCGGACAAAACCACGGGCTTCTGAGGTTTCTTTCTGCTTGTCATTCGCCTCAGCAAAGGTGACAAGAAACAGCCGGTCGACACACTCTCGGGTCGGGCCAGGAGGGGCCTTTCAAATCGCCACCTCTCAGACCGGATGCGGGGACTAGACCGGAAGGACTTGGCCCGGGGCTCCACCGGAGAAAACATGTAGTACCCAGCCGGCGGTGGCCTCAACTTGGTTGAACTCAGTTCCGATGATCGGCGACGATCAAATGACTGTGCCCTCGACGGCGACATCGGCGGCGGAGATGACAGCGGCATTGATTTCGGGCGAGGATGGTTCTGCTGAGCTCTGGGAACTCCTGGTTTTACCTCCCATTTGAACGGTACAGCTCCTGGCTTCTTGAAAGAATCATCCACAGCCATTGATGGGGGCTTCCGGCAATTATTTAAAACCAAACTGAGAAATGTTTGTCTCTCCGGGTTTCCAAACGCGAACGTGAATTTATATGGAATGGGAAGGAGAGTAACAAGGTTGGTAACGGCGAGATCAAAGGCATGGATTAGTGAGGGTGAGTGGGTCCAAGTCTGCTTATGAGGTATGACTTTTCTGTCTGTTATGGCGCATAGCATGTGACTCAGCTTAGTGTTCGTAGACTTTGTGAGAATAAATTTGAGGTGAAAACGTCTTTTGAGATGTTGATTCCACCACGCCTGTTATCTTATTGAGAGGAAGAGAAATGAGAAAGCGACGCAAGCATAGTTCAAGGGCGCTGATTTTTCCAACTGTTGTGGCTTTGTACGTATCTGGATATTTCCGAGTCTCAGCATCATCAAAGGGCACGAATTGGACCCACGGGCAATTATTCAGAGAAGGAGCATTATAGGCGCTACTCAAGTTTGAAAATGCAACTACTCTTAACGCATGCTCTCACCTCGTAATGGTGCCTGCTAATAGCATTTTATATGTTCGTTGCCCTTGCATGGATGATGGATGTAGCCCTCTTGTGTCTAATTAAGGTTACAACCTGTAAATTTTGCTTGTGCCCATGTTCATGTTGTGGATGACATTGGCCGTTGAGTTGACCGTGAAACGGACAATGATTAAGCTGTCTAATCGTGACCAGTGTCATTATGGGTACGCACTAATTCTGTGGAGCATCAGCGAACCGTTTATTGGGGGACATTGTCATAACATGTGTGTGTGTGTGTGTAGTTGAAATTGTTGGCTACTACTCCCTCCGGTTTTAATTATAAATGCACCAGCTTGCCGGAAGTTATTAAATATGCATTCTCCACAATATGACTGCAACATTCTTGAAATCATTGAGACCTTTGCATCCGAGTAGAAGGGGGTAATGGTGTGGCTGGCCTCTATTGCAGCTGATGATGCTGTTTGACCCTTTGGGGTGGCCGCGGCTTCAACCATCATCATTCTCTTCGGTTCCTATTCTGGCTGCTGATGCTTTTGGAAGCTCTGGACTTTCTGTTTGCTTGCTTGTTTTATGATTAATAGAAGTACATTTGCCCAAATAAAATGCCGACTGGCCACTTTATGGTGGACATTAATTTTAGTAGGGAGCAGAATTAGAAGGTTACATATATTTTTTATAAGTTTCAGAAGGCCAACTACTATTCTCAATAACTGTGAAGTATATAAATTGGTACTGTAGCCAGAAGGAGTATTTGTCAAGGGGAGACTGGAATTCTAAGGGATTATCATTTTTAGCACTTTGCGCATCCTCCTTCCGTAATAATCTCCGGCAAGACTCCTTCCCATTCAATAATTTCCTACACAGATCGATGCCCAAAAAAAAAAAAAAAAAAGGAGCAACAGGACAGATGCATGACCAAGCACCTGGGGAAGACATTTTTTTCCTTTCAGTTTTATAATCAAAATTAGATTTACATGTCATGAAGAATGTGATTTATTTTTTGAGTATATGCCGGAGACTCACCTTAATCAGTTGAAAGTAAAAGTAGAAATTCAACCGGTGCGGCAGGAGTGAGGTAATCGCTGTGACGCTGACTGCTCACATATGTACCGGAAAACGGCATCACTTTTAATCCACTTTACAAATTGTTGGCTCTTTCATACTTAACCATTAACCAATAAATAAATTTGAAAAAGCAGCCACTGGAGTCAGTCATTTTGACTAGGCGTTTTTGGCTCCAGTGGCTGCTAGGCCTAATTCTCATACAGGATCCCGATTGAAACACCTCCCTCTTTTGTTGTGGGGGAAGCAGCGAATTCAAAATGACAAAATTCAAACCAAAAGGAGGGCTGAAGTCTGATTTTGCAGCTGGAATGCAGAATAATAATTAGCGTTTCTAGCTTCTAGTCCTCCTCGCTCCAATTGTCACAGAAGAAACCACCAACATATTCCTTGTGAAGACATTTCAAGGCTAACAGAAAATTTTTGGTCAAAATCATCATAATATTGGAATCCAAATCCAGGAGCAGGAATAACGAAGGGGCAGAAAAGGAGGCCTAAACTTGTGACTAGCAATAAGAAACCTTGTCCTCTTCCTCCCAATTTCTTGAATATTCTCGCATTCTGTGCATCACATACGTATCATCTACTTCAGCAGCAGTGGCCTCATCAAATTGTTGACTCGTTCGCCAAACCAAAATTATCCTCTTTGCTTTTTGCAAGAAATGCCCGGCACAAATTTTGCTGGAATAACCTCGTAAAATCGAGATCTTCACAAGACTGATATGCTAAGAAACAACAATCAAATGTTGAAGACACAATAGGGAAATCATACCGTGCATCTCCCTCCCCTGTATCTGACATCCCAAAGAAGATCGCCTTGAGAAATATAGAACTCAGGAGGGTTGAAGAGCTTAGGGAGGACGCACAAAGTGCTACTTCAAACTTAAGCTCTAAGGTTTCCGCCTCAGCTTCTTCAAAAACTGACATCGTACGCCTCAGGAGATCGAATGTATAATGAAATGGTAGCACTTGACACCCAAATAATTGGGAATGGAAAATAAAGCAAACATATCTGAGAATCGCCGTTCCTGGAATTTGCCTCGTCTGCAAAAATATGATACTTACATGGCGGGGGGTGGATGGTAATCACAGTGATAATAAAATGCCAAAAAAAAAAAAGGGCGGGTGATGAATGAAGTACTCCTCCTGTCCTTAATATAACATCTAATTATTGAGTTGGTTTTGGTTCTAAATATAAAATTTTTTATATTTATCAATTTTCTCTAAATTACCCATATGAATACTCCTTCAACCATAATCAAGTAGAAGAGAAAGAGAGTATTAAGAAAGATAATTATGGTATTTTAGGAAAAACGTGTCACATTTCCTATAATTAATTAACTTATCTAACTTCTTTAATCTTATCAAATTAGTTAAATAGGTCTTATATTAAGATCAGAGGAGTACATTTTTACTATTAGTGACGCTCCCACGACATGCGGAAAATACTTTCCCACAATAGATATCAGCACCTGCGAACTGAACAATAAATTTTCTGTTGCTAAAGTATATATATCGTATTAGAGGTAGTCCTATTTGAAGAGCTGTTGAATACTAAATGTGAATACTTTTTCTAAAAGAGATTTAAACTGTAGTTTATTATGTTGTGAAAAAACTACCCATTTTGCTAGATCTTGATCCCAAAGACACTAATATTACCAAAAAAGCTCATATGTTAGAAGGACTTTTGGAACTTCAAGAGCCCAATCCAAGCATCCTTATCGACTAAGCCCAGGAGCATGAGGGAAATTTAATTTCCTACTAATAATTGGCAAGGGAAAAAAAAAAAAAAGCTTCGGCGGGCAGTTAGCACGTCAATGAGAACTCGCCGCAATGAGGGGGCTAACATCCAAACCCGTGTAGTTATCTATAAGAATGTGGAAATGATTTTACATTCATTAAAAACATAATTGTTAGAAAACTCAGAGCTTTGTAAATATTTATTTTTTATGTGTTAATTTATTGGGTAAATATAATTATAAATGTATGTATCTCTCATCAGCCACCATAAAATCAGTGCCATAAGATTTTAAATGATATCATCTAATGTATCACGTGCACCCAATGTATATAATCATATTTGTGCATCAAAGTAGATTATATTATGTATTATAAACACTCTAATTATAAATCGCAGACAAGTCTTGGTCAAAAAAAAAAAAATCGCAGACAATACAGTTTATTTTTTAATTATTTGTAAAGACTATGAAGAGAATGATTCAAACTATGGACATACAATTTCCCTTTACAGAGTCGGGCATGATGATACGCTCCGAAAAGCCTGTGCTCCCAGTATCCAGTGGTTTTGTCCCTTTTTTCAAAGGTGTTGGCTGAAATTCCGTGATCTGGCACTGGCAGGAAGCTGCACCCAGGGAAAAAAAAACAAAAAAAGAAAGAACACCCAACTTTGGTTTGAAATTTGAAAGTCAGAAGAAAGCGATAAAATTACAGTGTGAATTTGGGTTTAATATAATTAACCACATTTGTGCCATCTATCTCAAAACGGAATTTGAAGGACAACCAGTAAAATCACGAACTGTGTATTAGTTTTTGGTAAATGAGCTATTACACTATGAATTTATTCAATAATTCGCGAGCCTTTGTTGGCTTTTTGTGAGATTACCACGTGCAAAAATGCTCCCCCACTTCCATTTTGAATTTAGCCATCCACATTTAATAGATTTTTCTTGCTTTAAATAGCACTACCTTTTTTTTTTTATTTATTTATTTAGAGAGACATGCAGTATGAGCTTATGAGCGAGGTTTTAAAAAGTCAAACTTTTTCTTGACTGAAATTTTTATATTGCTCAGCCCTCAGCTTGTTTTAAATTAATAAATTATGCACTTCAAAATACTATATTTAACACGTAGATGGTTAATTCAAATTCATATTTTAAAAACCATACAAATCAAATAAATACAGGGGGTACTGTACATCACTCACCGGTTAGGGGTGCGTGCACTGTGGGTAACGACAAATCCAGTGACCGTTTAAATTCGAATTCAAACTCAAGACACGCGACTACCCATACGGTCACGGAGCGGTCAATTTGAGCCAGGTCACAGGCCAATCAGATTCCAAAGAACCGTGGAAAAAAACTGACCAATGAGGATCATTTGATGCTTTGCTGGCATTATTGCATGGAGGGAGAACGTTGTCCGGACCCAGTTTGAAACCATGGCAAGTGGGCCCCAGCTCAGATCCCCGCTCCTAACGATTACCGAGCCCAATCAACGGCCCGGATGCCTTCCCATTTCAAACTAACTCCTTTTCCCCGCCTCAATATGTAATAAACATTTAATTAAATTATTTATTTATTACCAAAGCCGGGCACACACTCTCAGGGAGGAAACGCCCCTCCTGCTCTTTATCCTCCTCTCTTTTTCTCCGCAACAATTTCAAACGATCTTTCAAAGCATAAAGACTCTCTCTTTATGGCTCTATCTATATCACTCGCCTGAAACCTCTCTTTCGACTTTCTTTCTTTCCTCTCATTCTCTCCCCATTTTCCCTTTTCTTGCTCTGCGAACCTGGGGCTGAGATTGCCTTCTTGTAGAGTCAAGAAAGAAGTCTACAAGAAAGCAAAGAGAAACGCAAAGAAAGAGTCATTTTGAATTCGCGTTCAAAAACCGCTACTAGGCTTGAATTTTTAACGCACAATGTCAAACCAGAATCGTCGTCCCTCGTTTTCGTCCTCGACAACATCGTCGTTGGCGAAACGGCATGCGTCGTCGTCGTCGGAGATTGTGGGGAAGCTCACGGCCCTGCCTCCACACATGGCCAAGAAGCGAGCGCCTCTCGCTAACGTGACCAATCTAAAGAATGTGTCTCACACTGCTTCCCGGAACCCTCTCCCATCATCAACTCTGGTATTGAGTTTTCTCAGTGTTTTGTTTAACTTGTTTAATTGCCTGAAAAATGCGTGAGAAAGAAGCCACCAAAACGTTTCTTCTTCCTTGGCTCTTTCGTCTTTTGGTATCAAACATTATAATTGCCAGTCATTCCTTTTCTGTCCAAATCAGCTGACATTTGCATGAATTTCAAATCCTCAGGGGATTTCATTTATTTTGAAACTTTCGATATTGATTTGATTCATTTTCTTCCCGTAACGGGAATGCACCCAGTTCAGGAACTTTCGACGCCAAGGAATCCGGGTCGATTAGAAGAAAATCATTTTATCTCCAAGGACGAACGTTTTTTTGTTTTTTTAATACATTTTATATTTATTTTTTCTAATCTATAATCTATAATTATAATTTATAATTATTTTTTATATATAGTGCCTACTCTACCATAATAGTTTAATTTAGTTTGAGTTCGAAAGACACACTGTCAAATTATGACTGTAATTGTAGCTTTAATTAATTAATTAATAATTAATAATTCCAACGTTCTAGGTCAATGGAGTAATTTAACTAAAAAGAGTGTTTTTCCATTCTGTCTCAGCTGCTTCGCTCTTGCTTGAAATTTGAATTCAAAATACGGTCCTAATTAGTTCTTTGCTTCAAAGATTCCTACTTTTTCATTAATTGCCATTAAAGCTGTCCGAACATTAAAGTTGCTGCGTAAGCATGGTGGGTATTTTCTCGTGTTTTTCTTTTTCCCGTAGTTAAAAGCTGGGTTTTTCTCTTGCTAGGTACCTGGTGCAACTAAAATCGCTAAGACAAACAGGGAATCCACCTCGTCAAATGTTAAATCAAGTGCAGTTGTTTTCCCCAAGGCTAGTCCATTTGCACAAAAAGATGAAGCTGCTCCTACAATTGCAGCTCTCACCGCTCCAGTTGCTGCCAATTTGGATGCAAAATCAAGTGCCACTGATTTTCCTAAGGTTGCTTCTTCTCTACAAAAATCTGAAGCCGCTCCCGCAGTTTGTAATTCCACCGTCCCTCTTACTAGCAGCATGGATGTTTCTCCTAGTAAATCAGATGGGATGTCAGTCTCTATGGATGAGACTATGTCTACTTGCGATTCTTTCAACAGTCCTGAAGTTGAATATATGGACAGCAACGATGTTTCCGCTGTTGACTCTATTGGTAGAAAGACATTGAGCATTCTGAACATTTCTGATAATACAGATGGAACAACAGGTTTCATGTTGATGCAATTTTGCCTTCTGTTTTCTTCTCATTGTTACTAGTCTCGCAGGCTTTTCTTCTACACAATCTGATGCAGTGTTTTTGTTTCATTCGCAGGCAACATTTGTAACAGAGACATACTTGTTGAGTTGGAGAGAGAAGACAAAATTGCCAATATCGATAACAAATACATGGATCCACAGCTGTGTGCGACCTTCGCTTGTGACATCTACAAGCATCTGCGTGCATCTGAGGTTAAATTTCTTTTCCCCTAATTAAACTAGTGTAGTCTTCAGTCTTTGCCATAAAAAATTAGCGAAATTCTGCATTTCTAGATTCTGGATTTGTCATATGAATAACAATCAGTTATTCTGTCTCTAGTATTCTGATCTTCGTTTTCTTTTTTTTTGGCCTCTGATTTCTTCATTTAGGCAAAGAAAAGGCCTTCCGCAGATTACATGGAGAGAGTTCAAAAGGACATAAATCCCAGCATGCGTGCTATATTGATTGACTGGCTTGTTGAGGTAATATTAGTTTACAGTGATGAGTGTTTTGTAAAAGATGTATAAAAATAAAATCATTCACTAGCTTTTATTGAATTAAGGCTCAAATTTTGCTCTTCCTAGTAAATGCTAAACTAGTAGTCTGAACTGCAGGTGGCTGAAGAGTATCGACTCGTGCCTGATACATTGTATTTGACAGTGAACTACATAGATCGGTATCTTTCAGGGAATGCTATGAACAGGCAAAAACTTCAATTACTCGGAGTTTCCTGCATGATGATTGCCTCGTAAGGAATCCTAATAATATACTCCCTGTCTCATGAGTTGTCTGTTTGATGGGAGTAGACGTATAGTGACGACTGACGAGATGTTTCTATCATTTTTGACAGCAAGTATGAGGAGATTTGCGCGCCTCAGGTCGAAGAATTTTGTTACATAACTGATAACACATACTTCAAGGAGGAGGTTTTGCAGATGGAATCTGCGGTGTTGAATTTTCTGAAGTTCGAAATGACGGCCCCAACAATTAAATGTTTCTTGAGGTAAGAGGCTGTCACTTGTCAATAAGCATCACACACAGCTTTTTACGGTCTTTCACGGTGCCAGCACTAATACTTTGTGTTTGGTGATATGCCTTCAGACGATTCGTTCGCGCAGCTCAGGGAGTGAATGAGGTACAATGCTGCCTGTCTCTTAAAACATCTCAATTTCTTAGAATTACTAGCATTCTTATGATGGATTTTTTGTGGATTTCTCAGGTCCCATCATTGCAATTAGAATGCTTGGCCAACTACATCGCCGAACTGTCTCTCTTGGAGTACAGCATGCTTTGCTATGCCCCTTCACTTACAGCTGCTTCTGCAATTTTCCTCGCCAAGTATCTACTCTTCCCTTCAACCAAGCCCTGGGTATGTATGCCTCCTTCCAACAATCACTTGTGCCTACCTTCATAACAATATATATATATGGCTTTAACTTGCCGTTTCTGTTTATAACAGAACTCTACATTGCAACACTATACGCTTTACCAGCCTTGTGATTTGTGCGACTGCGTCAGGGATCTCCATCGTCTCTGTTGTAACACCCACAGTTCTAATTTACCCGCAATCCGAGAGAAATACAGTCAGCACAAGGTGGAATTCTGACTCGCATGCTTTCCAGTTCTTTTGTTGTCATATAATAATCTGTTTGCTTTGATATCTTACTCGTATTTCATTCATGTTTCAGTACAAATACGTGGCTAAGAAGTACATTCGTCCGTCAATACCTCAAGAATTTTTCCAGAATTGAGCAGAGAGGAATCCGCCGTTAATTGTCCAATTCTCGGTTGGATTGGCTTAGTAGCTTAACATGACTAGACTAAGCGTCAGCGTAGGATTCTTCTTTCTTTCTCCCGTCTACCCTGTATAATCAAGTTTTTACCTCTGATCTGTCTTTTTGTAGAAGAGCTAATGTGAATTGTACTGGGGATTCTGTTGATCTCCCATAATCTACCGAGCGCAATAAATACTTCATGAAGCAACATCGTGTTATTTATGAGCAGATAAAGCACTACTATCCACCATGAAGTCACACCAACTACAAATAAATCTCCTTCCTTTGTACTGCTACGAGAAAACAGTTAAAATGAAGAGTTTCAATAAGTACTAAAACTGTCCGTTTTACTCGACATACAAATATACAATCATCCATTTTCTAACATCATATCGGATATCAAGCAAACAATAAGTAGTTCAATTTACATGACAAAAGAAGTAAAAGGTTCGTACTCTTATACACAGCATGAAGGGCCATTGCCTACACACCACACTGAACATTAGCAGCGGCTTCACCTGCAGTGCTTGTATTTGGGAAGTTATTGAGCCAATGGCAATCTTCAAATGAGCAATAAGGCCCTCGCTTCGGCTCCTCCACGTTGGTGACAGGAATATACTTGGGGGACCAAGCCGGTGTCCCATCCTCATATGAATTATGGGTTAGTCTCTTTATACCCGACCCGTCCAATCTTATGGTATGGATCTCACCGTATGGCTGGTAATGATGCGGGTTTGAGATTGGCTCCGCTGATATGCCCGAATAATCAGAGGTGAACACTAAACTCTTCCCATCCGGGCTGAAATACGGGTGGTTTGTCCTGCCTCCTGATCCGCTTTGTATCAGCTTCCTCAGTCCGGTTCCATTCGGGTGGATCAGGTACAGCTCGAAGCTCCCACTTCCTGGGTTTTCTCGGTCCGATGCAAAAGCGATCCACTCGCCATCTGGTGACCAACTGCACATCGTGTCCGTCCATGGGCCTTCCGTTAGCCTCTGAAGCCCACCTCTCTCTCCATCAACGGCGTCCATTATGTATAGATTCTTATGCCCCGATCGACCCGATCGGAAGACGATCCATTTACCATCGGGGGAGGGTGAGGGGAAAGCGTTGTTTTTCCCGTCGAGGGTCAATCTCTTTTGACTGTACTGATCAAAATCATCAACGTTGATGGAGATGACGTCAACTTGCGAGCTCTCAGACGCAAATGTTGGTCCGGTGGCTGTGTAGATTATTCCTGGACGAACTGGGTCCCACGAGGTCGAGAAGGCCATTGCATCGGAAACCTTACGCCTGTTCGAGCCGTCCCGATTTACGACATAAACCCCAGGCATATCAACGTAAGCTATTCTATCACCCGACGGCGAGAAGAACGGAAATGAACCCGTGAAGCGGAAAAGAGTGAGACCGGGTATCGGACTTCGGACATTCTCTAACATGAACTGGGGACTATCCTTCGTATTGGGCTCTCCTCTGCACTTGTGGTACCCAACCCTCGAAGCATCCGGCGAAATAAACGGGTTAAGGTGGTGGGCATGGGGAGACACCAAACGAGTCAGTTCCCTGAACTCGTTCTTAAGCAGGTCAAACAACTCGATGTGCCGATAGCTGGAGCCTGGCCTTCTCGTAGCTACTGCTATGAAATTCCTGTTTCCGGGTGAGGTGGCGGGTGTGAAAGCGTGGATACCCGGTGGGGTGACCCGTTCAATCTTCACAGAATCAGCTGAAATCGGACCCTCGGAAGGTAAAATTGCCCGATACACGCTCCACCACTGATCGTCGCCCCTCCGATGAAAGTAAATAGTACGATCGTCCACCCAACTTGGCCAACCTCCATGTTCAACCACCTTGACTCGTTGAGTTCCATCCCGAGTCAAGAAAACGTAGATATCAGTAGTGAGATCCTCAACCTCACCTGCCCAACCTTTCTGACCGTAGGAAGCTACTGCGGTGAAAATCCCAGACGGGGAAACTGATGGACTGAAATCTGCAACCCCATAAGGAGTAAGTCTCCGAGTCGAACCAGATTTCAAGTGGGTCGAATAAACCGCAGCCCAGCTGGCCCTTGGCACGCCCGGATTCTCGTGTGTCGACACATACACCAAATACTCTCCGGTCAAAGTGGGCTTATCTTTCATGGAAACTCGATTCTCGCTCAGGTCATCGCCCAACAGAGGTACTTGAATTCTATCTGCGACGGATTCAAGGGCCGATCTTCTTCTTACATTTCTAGCATCCTCGTAATAAACGACATCGTAGTATATGTTAGAGATGCCATCAACTCTTTCGGTGACATAGACGAGTTGCAGGGGAAGCGGGTCAGACCGGAGCCGGATGGAAGTATGATTGGGCAAGAGGGAGAGAAGGACGGAGGAAGAAGACGGAGAAGGGAATTGACCATTGAAATTGACGGAGTGGCCATCAGTAATTCGAATTTCGTGATGAGGTTTGGGTCGGTCCAGAACAGGGAGGGAGTAGATGTCAAAGGCGTAGAAAGACCTGCCCAGTGTAGTGAAGATGATGCTGGTGGCACTGGAAGTGTCGTGGTCCGCAGTTACAGTTGCAGAGGCTCGTAATGTTAGGAAAAGAAGCAGGAGGCAAAGAGAAGATGAATTGGTAGTTTTCATGGCTTCAATGATTCCCCGACTTCAGTCTCTCGGAGTGAGGTTTTGAGGTTTTGAGCAGCGGAGCCGAAAGTGTGTGGTGAGGGGAAGGGGGAAAAACAGGATGGTAGAAACTAGAAAGAAGATGGAAATGGGTCCCACCCGGATCGATGTGCTACGTGTCATCCAATGTGAGGGATGGGGGCAGATATTGATTGAGCGGGGGGAGAACCCACGGATCAAAGACGTCATGGGTGATGATATGATTTTTGGAGCAATTTGGGGCTGACCTGGAATTTCACCCTGTATTGTAGATTTATAGTGGAGGGGCACTGCTCCAGTAGGGGCATGAAAGAATTAATCCTGGAAGCTGTATGGCTTGAAAAGGATACTACTTTGATTTTTTAAAGCGATCTTAATATTGCCCATTTTCCTAGGATAAGTTTGAGTCAGTTGAAGTTCAGCGATAAAGATGAATCGCCTTAAAAAGGCAAAAAGAACTCCACGTGCGGACGACATTAGTGGGCTACGTTTCAGCACAGATTATCGAAATAAGTTATGGGCTCTATTTGATGCTCTTTCCGATTTCCAAACAATGTCGATGTGGGTTGGGGGGGGGTTAGTTCAGCAAATTAGTGCTTTTGGGATTGGGCGTTGGGGTTGGGTCAGTATTAATATTGAGAAAACTGGCTCTAAACATTTAATTAGCCATTCAGAAATGAAAGAATCATAGCCTTTTGGAAATGAAAACTAAAATTATGGGCTTTCTTTTAACCCAAAGTCTACTCGTTTACAGAGCATTGACGACAAAGGCCCATGCTAATGTATCGGGCTCACGGAATCCGCTCGACCTTTTAAGATCCTCTAAGGTTGGCCCAAGAAAAAGAGTAAAAACGCCAGTGAGATGAGATCGTTATACCATGAACTAGTGGAGATCTGAGTCTACTGAAAAAAAAAAAAAACTGGTCTCTCACAACGTAGTTAATTAATATTCAAATATTTATTGGAAGAGTATTCATATTTAATACTCGATAATATTTCAAATAGAATTGTATCTAATATGAAGACACATGTACAAAAGGAACCGTTGATGACCTGGACTAGTTTTATTTTGGAAAGAGTAACATGGTAATACCCAATTAACTTATTAAAATAAGTTGGAAGTATAGTATTTTTAATACATCCCCATCTTTACTTTTTTTATAGTTAATTAATATTCAAATATTTATTGGAAGAGTTTCCACATTTAATACTCGATAATTTCTCAAATAGAATTATATCCAATATGAAAATACATATGTATAAAAAAAGATTATTATATTGTGCATTAACAAAACAGAGACAATTATATCATATCAAGTCTAAATCCAACTCTAAACTACTATGGCAGATTGAGGCTAATATAACACTATTTCTGATTTTAAATATAAAATCTCGTTTATAATATAATTTGTAGTATAAGTTAAATTTTGTATTTAGGATAAAAAATAGTACAAGATTGTAGTCCGTGTTAACTTGAAATTGCAGCTATGTTTTTATTATTATATGTCAGTCTGACCTTGCTATTGTGAACGTTTTATCACTTCCAATTAAAGCAGCCTTTATAATTTCGTTTCTTTATGCCATCTATATATACACACACACACACACACACATATATATATATATAAAATCCGCGTAGTCTTATTTCAACATGAAAATGTCGTAGTACTATTAAAAGCATGGTTTTAGCTTCGTCTCCTCATCATCACTTATATTATATATAAATCACCATCGCTTTCTTTTAAAAAATAGCAGAAGAAAGTACCAAAAATCAATCATAGAATTGATAAGTCATGTATAGTAAGAAGAAGGAAGCGTTGATGACTTTAGGGGTGTTCATAAGACCCCGGTAGTCCAGTATGCTTGCCCAAGCCTGCTAAAAAAAAACCCTGCCCAGCCCAAAAAATAGATATTTTTCCGGCTGGGCTATTGATGGGCCGGGCCGGGCCGCAGGCATGATATGCAGCCCTATCCATTTGGCCCTGCCCAAAATATATATAATTATTTATATTATAATATATATAGTGTAATATCAATATACTATATTTTATTATACTTCAATACGCAAAAAGAACGTTACTCCCTTATATTATTAGACTTCGTATTTTTAAAGTTCTATTTTTAAAACAAAAAAAACATACCACTTTTTTTTAACTTTTTTAAATTATCTTGCTGTATACTATAATTGTCTTTTAACTTTTATATGTTGATATTACTTCATATATCATGAAATGATACTAATTATACCAATTTGAATGTAATACATAGATCTCTATAAATTATATTAAACTATAAGTTAATAATATAATTGAACATGTTAATATAGCTTGTATTGTTTTATATGTTTTGTTATTTTCTCAATTTTGTGGAGGTTGTTGCAAATCATTTAGACTTTAAGACTTTAATTATAATTTTTTTTATTGTCTTGTTTTTAATAAATTATGGATATTGTTAAATTTTTAAAGCATTGATATCTGTTAAGGCATACGACAGTCTCGTGACTTAAGTTATAAATTTGGGTAAGGAAAGCCCGCCCTGTCCAAAATAGCATGGGCTTCTACTGGGCAGGGTGGAGTACCAGGCTGTATTTTGCAGCCCACTCATCTTTCGGGCTGGGCATTAGGCAAGGTCCTGCTCCTGCCCAGCCCAGCCCATCCCATCCCATGCACACTCCTAGATGACTTGAACTAGTTTTATTTTGGAAAGAGTGACATGGGAATACCCAATTAACTTATTAAAATAAGTTGGAAGTATAGTATTTTTAATACATCCACATCTTTACTTTTTTTTTTTTATAGTTAATCAATGCAAATTATTTTTTTCCATTTTAAATAAACAAATCCTAAATCTATGTATACCTTACATAAATAAATAAATATTAAAGACAGGTACATATAAAATTAAAATTAAAATAAAAAATACAAGCTCTCACAAAGCCAATCCTATTGTTTCAAAACATAATACTCCTCCGGTTCTCAATATAAGACCCAATTGTTAAATTGGTTTTGGTCATAAATATAAAACTCATTTCTCATATTTATCAATTTTCTTTAAATTATCCCTATAGATACTCCCTCAACCATAATCAAGTAAAAGGAGATGAGATATTAAGAAAGATGATTATGATATTTTAAGAAAAATATGTCACGTTTCTTATAATTAACTAACTTACTTAACTTCCTTAATCTAATCAAATTAGTTAAATGGGTATTATATTAAGGATCGAAAGAGTATTTTAATGGGAAGTCACATGAAGTAAGAATAAAATATGGGTTGTTAATGGAACTTTAAAAATGCGGATTGCCACAACGTCAAGAAAGAGACACATGGTGCCCCATAAGCGAGGCATTCGCAAGCTCCATATTCAGTTATTAGGTAATGTTAGTTACTCCACTAATTTTAAATATAAAAATAATCATTGAGCTTGTTTTTATTTTAAATATAAGATATCAATAGATTTTTTTCTCATATTTTTTATAAATTAATTTATTTAACTTATAAACTCATATATATTATAATGGTATATAAATTTTTTTAAGGAGATCAGGTTATATTTATTAGAATTAATCAATTAATTTTTTAATTTATTTAAATTAATTAAGTAGCTCTTACATTGGAGTGTATTAATTGCCACAACTCTCTTAGCATCGGTATGGTAAAATGGAAGTTTTCCCATGTTATTCTTTTGTTAAAAAAAAATCTTTTTTTATGTGATATGAAACTGTAAGTTTTTAACGGATTTAAATACCTTTAAGTTGAAAATAAATGCACTTGATGTAAGCGTTAATTTAATTAACAAAAATATAATACTCCTCCGGTCCTAATTATAAGACCCAATTGACTTATTTGAGGAGATTAAGGAAGTAAGTTAAGTTGGTTATTTATAATAAATAAGTGTTTTCATTCTTAAAATATCCTTGCTAATTAAGTATATTGACTAAAACTATCATTATTAGAAGGATTATCTTGGAAAAAAATGTATAAATATAAGAGACAAAATAGATTGGGGTCTTATAATTAGGACCAAATAAAAAGTCAAATAGGGTCTTATAATAAGGACCGGAGGAGTATAACCTAAGATAATTTCTCCGTATTCGATGTTGAATTTTGGAATACAAATATTTTACGGGCCAATACTTCAAGCATTTTTTTATCATGAAACATTTTATAATAATGACTTCAAAAAATTAACCTGAACACTTGTCGTGCTCTTAACGTTCGATGATTTGAAGGTATAGTTGACTTTGTCTTTCTCCAGAACAGAGTTGACCCTACGAAATTTAAAAATGAATTTAATGGTGGTGACCGCATTGTCAACACTGATTTAAAGGTTGAATGCAATGAACGTATCTATTGAATTTTACAGCTCACAGCGATCACTTACGATTAAAATATGGTTTCATACATACAAATGTTAGGTATAAAAAATATAAAATTAACATGATTGTAACTGACTATATTACTTGCCTAGTTCTTAGCATAGAAGTTCAATAACTAGAGATCATAAAAATTAGTTATTTATTAAAAGTATGTTTTGGTAATTTTTTTTTAAATATCGTATTTAATCATTTGTGTTCAAACTAGTCTTTGGTGGAAAATCCTTTAACATTTGCAATGAATAGAGATAATTTAGAAAAAAATTATAGATTTAGAAAATAACATACATTGAAATATTATATTTAAAATCTAAATAAATTTCTTAACTAATTTTTATATGGATAATATTTAGGTCAAATTACTTATACTTATTATGTCAAATTCTCTAATTACATATGTCATATGTTCTATTCTTGAAATCTTAGTGTTTAATAATAATCATCATTCCTTAATCAAGTGTCGAGGGTTCGATCTTCTCCTTAGGCATAGAAAAATTTTAAAACTCTAGGCCAGCTATCCCACCTTTCGAGGTACCTACAAGCTAGCAAAGAGGTTAGTCACTGGATCTGCCGGTGAATGTCCTGATGTTTTCACCAAAAAAAATATTTAATTATATACTTAGGTGAAAAAATAAAGCATATGACAACATGTGGTTGAAAAACTTGATATAATGAATATAAATAATAGACGAGAACTTTGAATGCAGGGATCTATGAAGGAGGAGAATATACGTAGAGATTAACGGTGGAGTTACGAAGCAGCAAGCAAATGAATATTAGTAATCAAATTAAATGTCAAGTCAAGTAGGCTCAAACCTGTGGATCTCTTCCAAACAGAAATGAAGCATCAACAGCTAAAAAGGTGGCCAATAACGACCACCCCACAAGACCTTGCTTCCTTCATATCAAATATTTGATTCAAAATAATGTTGATTATGATGACTAGATAATGAATGTAATAGTCTGACCAAGGGAGGAGGAGAAGAAGAAGAAGAAGAAGAAGAGTGTAATAGAAATTGAGCATATTTAGTTTAAAAAAAAAAGGAAATAGAAAGAAATGAAATCTTTGTACAAATCTCCTTATCAGACCAATTCTGAAGTAGTCGCCGATGAGCTTTTCATGGGAAAACAATGTCGACTCAGCGCCCATGTGCTTCTCTTCTTCTTCACTCTGTTGGTAAGCAACTTAAGACCGCTAAATTAAAATTACAGTCACACGTACACTTCTTAAAGCACAAGGCATTGAAGGGAATCATCGCCATTTCTTAAGGTAAATGTTCAGTGAGCGTTCTCTTCTCATGCACGAACTTGGCTCCAATTCCATCGTTACTCCCTTGTCCTGGGGGAATGTACCATCATTGTATTGCTGTAACTACAATACACTAACGCCATGGAAGAGATAGGGGTGTGCGCGCGCGCGTATCCCCCCAAACAAACTGTATTTTATTTTTTTTTTTTAAAAAAAACTGTATATTATTGATTAAAATTTTTTTATTATATTGATCATGTATCCCCACCAAGTTACATGCGCTAATTATGCAATTAATATCGTCAGATTGAGGACTGGAAAATTCACAAACCTTTTAAAAAATTAACCCAGTCAGGATCCACGACACCTAAGGAATCAAAAGAGGAAGGGGCTAACAAACAGGTACTTGAATTATTGAAGTTTGTGATCAGAACGCCAGCGATACACTGATGAACAATAAATTTGTCTCATATAATAATGTGGCAAACTAATTAATTACGTATCAAATTAAAGAAGCGTAGCAGTGCCAGTAGTATTATAAGCAATTAATCACAAAACACATCATTTATGCATTAATAATGTTTAATCCTGACAATGGTCTCCTGAAGTAGTGCAAGTACAGCCAATGATGACTTAAGATTGTACGCTTTAGTTCTTCAAAATCGTCTCTTTCCTCAGAAATGCATCCTAACATTCGGACAAATAGAATCAAATCAAATTGCATAATTAACTGATGATTATTCTGATCATTCTGATTAACCCCGCCTCCTCTGCTACTTCTGAAGTACAGATCATTCTGATTATGGCTCATGATTTGTCACGACACATGATGTCAAATACTTTCATGCGATTAAATAAAGTTAAAATTATTAATGTCAATTTTGAGAAGTTGACGAGGAATTAAATTACAGCAAACCGAAAGCGATTTACTTTATCTCCTAAAACTACGCCGGCAAATCTGAGTGTTAACTTACTCTTCATTTTCTTTTACCAACAAGTGATTGACAATTGTCAAGATGCAAGACGCCATGTATAAAAGTTAAATTGGGAGGAGTACGAAGCAACGTGGGCACGCGGTTTAACCTCATCCATAACAGAAATCGGCAGAGATTTGAACTTTAAGCAAAATTACCATTAATTCAGTCAGAGTCTAGAAAGCAGGAACTAATTAATTGCATGGGTTTCCTCGCCTGCTGATCAACTTAAACTACCGATTTAAACTCTATATTGGTGAATGGTTTGCTTAGATTAGCGAAACCGATGATGTTTCATATTAATTTTATTTACTTGTCATAAGTTGTGGGCACATGGTCACGTAATAGTCATCTCCGGCATCTAAATTCTCCCATGTTCCAATTATGACGCTCTTGGCATTTGCTCTGCAAGCACCAAGGAATGCAAGTACTTTATTCTTGAAATTTGGCATTAAAGAGAAGTCATAAATAGGTTCAACCCCTAAAAGAGTAGCTAACTAAAAGAGAGGAAGATTTTCAGCATGCGTACAGAAGATGGGCCGCACGTCCTTCAATTCTTCTCGACTTACAAGTAGGGGCAAACGCTTTTACTCAACAAATATATGTCCCTTGTGTTCAAATCCTACTCTACACAAATACAGCATCATTTGAAAATAAAACCCCACACGTCTTTCGTAAATTTTTTTTAAAAAATGTTTGATGAAAATAACTTTATGGAAAAAAGTTGAAAAATTTCTCATTATGTGAAAAAAAAAAAACAGAGATTTTAACCACTTCTGGTGGCCTATCATTAACTATGAATCAATCAATCATCAGTTGAGGATGTGTGAAGTCTGAATAAACTAATGAATGATATGCATCACCTGAAAAGGAAGGGCTTATATCTCTCAGATCGAATTGACTCTCACTTTTTTATTCATTTATCGCAAAAGCGTCACCGTCCCCTGATCTGACTCTAACGGCCGATTTCTTTGAAGAGGCAACCAATAATGGCTTTGGCGTCCAACTTGGCGGGAAACTTTTGCTATAAATACCGGCCAAAGTAGCCTTTTTCATCATCCACAACTGAACAGCTCACCCAATTAATTATCTTCAAGCTCTCCTGCTTCCTTTCATCAACAAGCCACTGAGATATAATCTCTCTTTCTATCGCTACTTTGTTTCTCTGTTACTTTCACTGAAATAGTAATGGCTATCCCTGTGATCGATTTCTCAAAGCTCAATGGGGAAGAAAGGGCAAAAGCTATGGCTCAGCTCGCTAATGGATTTGAAGAATGGGGTTTTTTTCAGGTAGGTAGTTTACCTTTGGATTTAGAATATGCACGCCCTTCATATTTGTGCCTTCTAGTGGTGGCTATTCTACTGCACATGCCAGAAAATTAATTACGCAGTTTTGCAGTTGGTCAACCATGGTATTCCTGAGGAGCTTCTGGAGAGGGTGAAGAAGGTGTGCTCTGAGTACTATAAACTGGAAAGAGAGGAAAATTTCAAGAACTCATCCTCGGTGAGTCTGCTCAACGAATTAGTTGAAAAGAAGAGCGGTGAGAAGTCAGAGAGCGTGGACTGGGAAGATGTCGTCACTCTCCTGGACGATAATGAATGGCCTCAAAGAACAACTGGATTCAGGTATATATATGTACTTGTGTGTCCAGATGACCATGCAATTTCTCATCTCATCTATCATTTTCTGCAAACAACTCCCATCTTCTCTTATGGACGACAGGAAAACTATTCCCATGTAACTTGAGGCAAACTGCACATAGTTAATTAGATTTCGGTTCATCCGTAATACATACATGTTTTCAATGTATAAGCTTAACTGGCCTATGTCCACATGGATATGTATGACAGGGAAACCATGGCAGAATACAGAAGTGAGCTAAAGAAATTGGCCGAGAAAGTTATGGAAGTAATGGATGAGAACTTGGGATTACCCAGAGGATACATCAAGAAGGCATTCAATGGAGGAGATGGAGACAACGCCTTCTTCGGAACCAAGGTAAGCCACTACCCACCATGCCCCAATCCAGAGCTCGTTTACGGCCTCCGAGCTCACACCGACGCCGGAGGCGTCATCCTGTTGTTCCAAGATGATCAGGTGGGCGGCCTTCAAATGCTCAAGGACGGCCAATGGATTGACGTTCAGCCATTGAAAAACGCCATAGTCATCAACACTGGTGATCAGATCGAGGTGCTGAGCAATGGTCGGTATAAGAGTTGCTGGCATAGGGTTCTGGCCACGCCAGATGGGAACAGAAGATCGATCGCTTCTTTCTACAATCCGTCGCTGCGAGCCACCATATGCCCTGCACCGCAATTGCTCGAGAAAGAAAGCGAACAAGTGGATTGCGCTTACCCTAAATTCGTATTCGGGGATTACATGTCTGTCTATGCTCAGCAGAAATTCCTCGCAAAAGAGCCAAGGTTTCAAGCCGTTAGAGCCGTGTGAGAAAAATGGAGTGAAAAACACAAGACGTGTGTGTACTTAAGATGCTAATACTTTTCACTTTTTTTCACTGAAATTAGTTCCCTTCTCTCTACATTTTTTCCAAAACTTCACTTTTCTAATACTATTTCAAAACTTCATTTGGGTTCATTGGTCCTTGTGATATAATCAAGAGTTGGGCTTGATACATCCGTTGCGAGTGTAAGGAAGAGAATAAACAATGATAGAGGCTCCGTTTGGATTAGGGATTACAAAAATAGCTTATTGTTAATTTGATTTTTGAAAGAGTAAAGTTGGGTAAAAATTAAATTGGATAAGCTGAATTGTGTTAGAATTAGAGTTTAAAAAAGTTAGTTTGTAAAAGTGATATTGGTAAAAGGTTGTTTGGATTATGATTAAGTAAAAGCAAGTTTGATTGTAAAATTACCAAAATGAGTATGACTTTTATTACATGATATAAAATAAAAAAATTTATCAATTTACAAAATGTCATAATTTAAATTATTTTAATTGGAAGAAGTTAAATATAATAAACAAAACAAAATATATTTAAATTAGAAAATTTGCAGAATATATTTTTTAATACGATAATTTTCAGATTTAGCTTTAATTCAAATAAAGATTTCCCTATATACCAGTGAAGTAAGATACCAAAAGGAAAAAAAAAAAGAATGAAAAACGTGTATAATTCCACCGCCTCTTATGTAATTATTTTTTATTTACAGTTTTTTTTCAGAGGCCACAAGTCTGGCATCCTTTTTTGTTCTTCATCTCCTTTCTCTCGCTCATTCATCTTGGGTGCCATGGTGGCGACCTAGTTGGTAACGGGTCTGGAAGCACTGAATTGACAGGAAGGATAGATCGGACAAGGAAAGAGGAGAGGCATAGACAAAGAAGCAAGATAAGGAGATGGAACGGAGACCCAAAACTAGACATGGCTTAGGGAGGAGATGCGATGGAGATTCCACAACGGAGAATGAGGAGAAAAGTGACACAATTTTTTCTGAGAATAATTATTACTCCCTCTGTTCCTTACTATAAAGACGAATAACCGAATTACGTTGATAAAAAAATAGTTAAAATTAGTTAAGAACAATCAATGTGTAAAAACTATAATTTTTTTTCCAAAAATACCCTCATTAATAAGGAGAGAGAGCATGAGAGAGGACAATGGTAAATTATTAAAAGAAATAGAAGTGGGAATGAGAGAGAGTGTGAGTTGGAAACAATAAATATGGATGAAATAGAAATCAACACAAAAAAGTAGAGACAACTTTTAAGTGTCTCTTATATATAGAAACATGCCATAAGTATCAAATGTTTCTTATAATAAAGAACGAAGGGAGTATGTTTTAACAGTCCCTTACTAGCCACCCATAAGCTCAATACATAAGTTATAAGTGGATCTGAGAAGCTTATCAAATCGGGCTTATAAATATGGCTTTTAACTGTTAAGGAGGATTGGATAAAAACTCATCTAAACAGACCCAATTTTTAAAAACGTGCTTATAGACCCAATAAGCTACTTTTAGATCACTTAAACACTTAACCAAACAGGCCCAGAGTGTATTAATATCCATGTTCATCTGTACCCGAACATATATTAATGTTTCTCTCTTCTTTTATAATTTACTCCTTTATAATATGCAATTATATTATCAGTGTCAAGTCTGGTCAAAAAAAAAAAAATTATCAGTGTCAAGTTCAATTTGATTTGGGAGACTCTGAATTTATAAAAAGAAAAAAAAATGGATCCACATGAGGTGAGTGAGGGAGGAGAGAGAACGCTTCATCCTTGGTTTCGTTTTTTTAACTGAGGCATTTGAGCTTGTTTTTAATATTAAAAAAAATCATTTTTTAGTTGAATAATAAAACCATTTTTAAAAAAATATATCATTTTATTATTTATTATCATATGTTCTATTAAAAATTTAATTGGTAAGAAGTAATCGATAAATTTTATATACTAAGTGTAAATTTTATACATGTAGGACACTTGTATTTTGATTTAGATCTTCAGGAAAAATCAAGTCTAATAGGTAATTGTCAACTTATCAAATACACTACTGCTGCGCTCCAAGACACAAGCTTTACTACCTTACAAAATTTTTTGCATTCAAGAACCTCTTGTCAGTATGATACTATATTGAAATCAGTGGCAAGCCCCATCTTTAGCAGGGAAGCCAACGACCAACGTAAGAAACTGGTATTTCCTCTATTACTATGTTGTGTAATCTCAATGTACGATCTGTACAGGAATTACAATAGCCCAGGGTCTTTAGAGGCTAATGAGTTTACAGGGCCTTTTGATCAAGCCTTTCGTTCCAATTAAGGCAGCGAATCAAGCTACGAAACCAGTCCCCTGTTTGGTCAAACTTGTTAACAGTTGGAAGCGGATGTTGACTCATATATATACAGACGGAATCTCCTCTTGAAAGTTGCTGCCTCCTCTTCCCATCAAATGAAACCCACGCATTACTTCTTGCATCTTCTGGAATCTGGGAATTATAAACCTCAATTATCTCACATCCTAATAAGTAATTACTAAAGCATAAATGAAAATGATCATATTACACCTTAACCGCTAATTCTACATCATAAAAAAAATAAAATCAAATAAAATCAAATTGAATCCTTAAAAATAATACTAGTACTTGTAATTATCTTATGTCTCGTTCATCACATAGCTTCGATAACATACGCCGGCTTAGTGCACCTTAGAAACGGGAACTTATTTGGTACAAGAGAAACGTTATGAACAACTAAACAAGAGAATTAGATTGTAAAGTAGATGTTCGATATGATGTTTTTATCAAATAGAGAATGCTTAACTTCACCTTTAATTCAAGTCGAGCAGAATCCGGAAGAATAACTGGTCTAAATGAAAGTGAATGTGGACACATATAGGTGTAAATAACATGCAGGGTACATTTGGATGGACCTGCAGTTTTCTTAGTCGTTAGATTAACTCAACAAGGCAAACAGTTAAAGAGAACAGGCCAAAGCATCATTTTCATGCTAGAGAAATATACCATCCACCAGGAGAATCCTGTTTATGAAATTGAATTGAATAAATTATATTTTAAAAATATACCAGGTGAGCTAGAGGTCAACGTTCAAAGTTAAACCCTAGAATGGCGTCACGTTGAATATTAGCTTGTATCAACCATCCACCAAGTGGAAAAAAGAGATTGTGCTTGATTACGTCTTTTCAAGAACTTGCTTCCTTCTACAGATGTTCACTCAAAGCCAAATGATGAATCTAATTACAACAGAAAGCATAGCCAACAAAAAACTTTTTTCTCTTTTCTTTTGGCGTGAGGCCTATGAAAGAGGGAGAAGAGCTCTTTGAATTGCGCATATATTTCTCAAAGAGGGAAATGAACCAGGCATAAATTTTTATTTTTTTATTTTAAAAAAAGGGAGCTCATAAAACCAGATTTGAATAACGCCATTGCAAGGCTTTCAAAATATTAGCAAAAGTATCGGTCAAAATGAGTAAACTATTTATTAAAATCAATCACCCAGTCTAGTGTTAGATACATAAATGTGTGTGTGTATATATATTTTAATGGTTGCCATACTGTTGAGCAAATCTAGCTCCCCTTCAGACAAGATATGAACCTCAGATGATTTAAACAAGCAACAGAAAAGGGAAGGGAGATCTTTAACTCTATCGTTTTTACAATTTCTTGTTTCAAGTCCTTCTCTTCAAATTTCAGCTTTTGAAAAATTTTAGAAAGGTAATCTCTTTCAGGTGCGGGGGAAAAAAAGTAATATCTGTCATATCCTTATTTTTATTATTTTAAAAGTAAATACACTTATTATTATTATTTTTTATTCAAGGACATAAGAAAAATTTCCTATCAACAAAATCATTTTTTCTATCTCATTCAATTCTGCATAGCATATGACATAAGCTGTGGATATCATCAGGAGCAGTAAACAACAAAACATTCAGCATTATAAGCTGAACTTTGCAAAGTAGAGGGGGAAAATAGAGAATCAAAAGATTATGATTCTTTTAAGTATCATTAAACCATAAGCAGCCCTATTCAGTTATCTTAACTTTAACAGGCACAAAATCTATAGAACTATGAAAAAAGCTGAAGCACAAGCTTTACCATAGAACCTCCAGCAGCTGTAGAATAGGCAGTACTTCCTGTTGGGGTGGCTACAATGACTCCATCACCTTGTACCTGAAGGACAGGGTAATTATCCGTCAGATGGGTCGACTGTGCTTTATGCGTGTGTTTAGAGATATGGGATAGAAGATACTGATGGTTCTCATCACAGAAAGTACGGGCTATATAGAAGTTTAGAGCAAGAGGGAAACTCACCTTGGTTATAAGTCGATCATGCTCATAGCATTCGATTTTTGAAAGGTATGGATTAGAACCCCGATCAAGGACAACCTCATTCAGAACATCAAATACTTTCCCTGGCACAGCTTTACCCTTGCGAAAAATTTCACATCGGAGACGCATTCTGAGAGTGATATACACACCATCTCGTGTAGTATTTCCATGAATAACTTGTCGTAAGTCCTGCTTATAGTCATCAAACTATACAGAGAAAACAGGATGCAAACCAAACAAATGACCTCAGAGCCGCTTATATTGCTTTTATTGCAAAAGGAACTAAGGATTTACGAAAGCAAAGCTTACATTATGAGATGTTAGAAAGCCAAGAGAGCCAAGGTTGAATGAAACAACAGGGGGAACAGCTCCTCTAAATAGATTTGAAGCGTGCAGTATAACACCATCTCCCCCCAAGCACGCCACAAAGTCTACTTTCTCATGTAGATCACTGAGTCAAAGGCATTTAACATGGCTTTTCAATGAACAACCATATCAGAAAATACTGTCAAGTTACTGTATTCCAGCTCACAAACTCCAGTACCTGGTATCTTGACTATAAAAAGTCTGCACAAATCCAAACCCTGGAATTCTAGCAAATATATCATGCACGTCAGGTTCTACAACAACATTCATTTTTTCTTGGTGATATAAGAAAGAGGCCACCTGCAGATTGGGTACAGAAAATGTACTGAGAATGGATTTAGTAAAGAATAGCTAAAAAGAAAAAAAAAATTGTTAGGACAAGCATTTCACTCATCCAAATAATATTGCTAGATATTTCCGTGCAATTACAAAAAATAAAACCGATATCAGACTATTAATTGCATACCAGATTAAGAAGGGGTGATTTTGATAAATATAAAATTAATTTTTGAAGATAGAAATAGCCCATATTCGTAATTTAAAAAAGACAAATTTAAATTAATTAAAAAATAGAAATAGCCCATATTCGTAATTAAAAAAAAGACAAATTTAAATTCTTGAGTAGCTAAAAATTTTGAAGAGGTGGCAAAAGCTGCAAAAACTTGGACAGCACATTTCACAAACATGCCAACTGGGGAAACCGCAATACCAAGTCTAAAAAATATTTGATACTCCAGCCGAACTGTTGGAAATTTAAATATCAATCGCATAGTCCCTGAAAATGATCATTACCTCTTTTGCTTCTTCCATCAATTCTTCCCCCAGTTTTTTCAACAATAATACAGTTTTTGGTGCAGATTTCCACATAAGCATCTGTTTGCTGGGTGCTAGGGTGAGTGAAAGCCAAAGAAGACTCAGTCACCTTTTCTCTGGTACATGAGTAACCATCAGTTCGTACTACGAACATTTCTGCCTTTTCCTAGACTGCACCCTAACAACACCTGTTGAAGATGCACACATATTCCCCTCAATGGGTTCTGAATCTTCAACTAAGGCTAGCCTAGCCTCAGGAATGCTGTCTCAACCTTCAGAGATTTAGTAGTGACATGATCACTACTTGCGCTCATAGAAGTGGAGACATTGGTTTAAGCATGCGATGTGTTTTCCTATCACTAGATCCATTTGTTGTTGTCCGAACAGCTAGATATTTCCGTGCAATTACACAAAAATAAAACCGATATCAGACTATTAATTGCATACAGATTAAGAAGGGGTGATTTTGATAAATATAAAATTAATTTTGAAGATAGAAATAGCCCATATTCGTAATTTAAAAAAGACAAATTTAAATTAATTAAAAAATAGAAATAGCCCATATTCGTAATTAAAAAAAAGACAAATTTAAATTCTTGAGTAGCTAAAAATTTTGAAGAGGTGGCAAAAGCTGCAAAAACTTGGACAGCACATTTCACAAACATGCCAACTGGGGAACCGCAATACCAAGTCTAAAAAATATTTGATACTCCAGCCGAACTGTTGGAAATTTAAATATCAATCGCATAGTCCCTGAAAATGATCATTACCTCTTTTGCTTCTTCCATCAATTCTTCCCCCAGTTTTTTCAACAATAATACAGTTTTTGGTGCAGATTTCCACATAAGCATCTGTTGCTGGGTGCTAGGGTGAGTGAAAGCCAAAGAAGACTCAGTCACCTTTTCTCTGGTACATGAGTAACCATCAGTTCGTACTACGAACATTTCTGCCTTTTTCCTAGACTGCACCCTAACAACACCTGTTGAAGATGCACACATATTCCCCTCAATGGGTTCTGAATCTTCAACTAAGGCTAGCCTAGCCTCAGGAATGCTGTCTCCAACCTTCAGAGATTTAGTAGTGACATGATCACTACTTGCGCTCATAGAAGTGGAGACATTGGTTTTAAGCATGCGATGTGTTTTCCTATCACTAGATCCATTTGTTGTTGTCCGAACAGAACTAGAAGTACTTCTGGCCACTAAGTTTCTATCCCCATCAATCACAACTTCCGCCCCTCCAGAAGGATAATCCAAATAAGCAGACCCGTTGGAGCTTCTTGAGTCCACGAGTTCAGGCAAAAAATCATCAACATAGCTGACCAACATGTCTCCCTGAAACCTAACAATATGCATGTTTTTTGAATGTTGTAAGCTTTCCATTCCTCTAATCTGATATCTGAAATAAGAAGGTGGTGAGATGTTCCTATTTCCAATGAAGTTGGACATTTCCCTTTTGGAAAAGATATCACGAGGAGGAACTTGAGCTTTTAAAGGGTTAGCCACAAGGGAGAAACTTGAAAAAGATCCTGCCCCATTAGAAGTAGAAAAGGTTTCAGATATTGTCTTATCTCCAGAAATAGACCCATTCAAAGCCCCATTACTTTGTGCCTTTTTGTTATCCAATGTTCCTACAGAACCATGAGCTACACCATTCTCTTGCAACGAATTGGTATCCTTTTCTGGGAATGATCCCTTTGAAGCCGTCAAAGAATGCTGAGTTTTTCTGAATCCCTTTGTATAATATGAAACCCTATCATTGGAAGTAATTACTTGATTAGAAACTAACTGTGATGCAGAGCGAGTAATGTACTGCTTCCACCTGGAAACCATGGCGGATGTTCTCCAAACTCCTTCCTTGCTGTGAAGATAGATGGGCCTTTTGCTGCCATCAGAAACATAAGATGCAAACCTCACAACCTGTTCCGTTGTAGGTGCAGTCCTAACTTCAACTGGGATTTTGACCAATTCAATTTTCCCAGAGGCAATCGCATTATGAATGGCTGTTTGATAGAAGTTGTCTTTTACAGTTTCTGCTCTGAGATCTATAATAGTTTTATATCCTTTATCCAGTAACCATTTCAGGCCTTCTTCTGTTACCTGGCCTCCTTTCCAAAAAACTGCCTCAGAATCTTTAGATCCCGTGTTCTCTGTAGAAGTTGAAAAATATACCGGACGCCAATTTGCGAATAAAGTATGGCAAGGATAATGCTCTTTACGAGGAAAACCTGAATCATAGCAGACATTCTTCAGTCTCTGAAGTTTTCTCCACACATTTATGCTTCGATCATCATCAGATATCAAATAGTTCTCAAGAGCTACATGCAAACTCTCACAACACCTTTTCATCTCATTCCTAAAAATGGCAAGTGGGGGGAGATTATCCTCCATTGTGCTAACAAGTACAGTGCGAAAGGAGTTCATGACTGAGGATCTCCCAGAAAGAATATCCTCCCTACCTTTATTCATAAGGGATACCATACATCCCAGGACAGAGACTATTTTATCTTCAAGTTGTGGTTTCTCATCTGATGGGACATCATATGAGACACTGCATTCACCAGTAAACGGATTGCACAAAGCATCCATTAATGCAGTGTGAAACCTTTCAGCGCTTCTAAAGATCCTACAATAGGCCTCAATTTCAGCAATATCACCCGGAATTGGACCAATCCAAGGTAGCTGTGATGGATCATGGGATTCGAAGGAATTCACATTCTGACAATAATGACATAAAAAATTATTTCACAGAAGAATGCAAGTCTGTGGTTTGAATCTTTTGAATGAGTCAATACTATACTGAGAGCAATACAGAGAAACAATTCACATACAGAAAAAGAAAAAAAAAAACTCATCATTTAATCATGTATTCTAAATTTTAGAATTATTCAGCAATAGGCTAGATATTTGCTCATAGTGTGGACAATGAAAGTAATTGCTTCATCAATGAAATGCATCAGGGTTGACAAAGGACACATGCTGTAATAAGAGTTTAAGAAATGACAGAGACAATAAGTGTAGAGATGTCAAGGCACAGATCTAAAAAATAACTTAGGAGGAAGATGTGATTTACGGTTCAGGAGTATCTCGAAGGAAGGAAAAGTAAAATAATTTTCTCATGTACGTCATTGCTTAAGAAGCTAAACAAATACGAGCATAGAGTTCGGAAATGGCAATTGTAGAGAAAGATTAATTTCAAACTAGAAAAGAAAATGCAGGCTTAAATGGATAAAAGATTCTGAAATTCCCAAGTGACAAATATGCAGTGAGAACACAACATAGGCTAGTGAAATTTCACAATTTGAAAGCAATCACTCCAGCAAGCTCAAATTCCTTCCAATAATCAGTTACCCTCCCAAGAAGGGCCTCTTCATATTATATGTAAGCCAGAGCTAAATTAATTGGTCTTTGCCCGCAAATTAGAACATAGTCAGTCATAGAAATCAACCGATGGCAATGAAAAATAAACGAATAATGTACAATACCAATAAAATTTTATTATCAGGAAACAGTTAACACGCCAGTTTTTAATTTTAGGACTGGATTTAGTTAATGGACTGAATTCGAGTAGCAGCGTTCGAAAGAAAGAGCAATTAACAACTTCAAACGAAGAAGTCATCCATTCAACAGAGATGAGCTTAGCTAAAAAAGGTGGAAGTGAAGCAAATGACCTGAGAGTCCAACCCGAAATTCAAGGAAAACGAGTTTGAAAGCTCGGCGTTGAAAACGAACTTGAGCCTTCGCCTTCCCTTTTTCCTCTGCCACTCGAACCCGAGCCCCGACCCAAAACCGAAGACTTTGCCATTGCCAGAGGACGAGGAAGGCGTAAAGAAACAGAGATAGGAAGGTGAAAGTAGCCGGATCGCCGGAGAGGTGGGCAGACTCATGTCGACGGAGAATGCCATATGGCACGCGCAGAGACATGCCACCATTGGAGCTTACGAAGGAGCAAGAATAATTTTCGCCTTATTCCTTTAACATCTGTTATTATTCGTCACTGAATTTCTATTGGGCCTGTTGATGGCGAGAAAATGTGGTGGTTAGGGAAAACTGGCGGGTGATATTGGATTTGCATCAATATTGATTCGGTGGTCGACGCATCATTTCTCGCTTCCATGACATTCCCCTCGCCGTTACTTATCGACCTCCTTGATGTGATGTCCTATTTTTCCCCCCTTACCGTGCATATTTCTATCTCCTCACTCGGAGAATTAATATTAATTGATATTAATATTAATATATTTTGTAAATTCAAAGAAAAGCCATATTATTTAGATAATTCTTTTTGCATGTCACGAGTACAATTTATTACCAGGCATGTCTCGTAAGCAGCCCTCCTACTAGGCTTCGTCGTATTTTGTTTGAAGACAACAGGGGAAATGGGAATCTCCTTTTCCAGAGTTGTGTACTATTCAGGCTTGAAATGCAATTTAAATACTTAATGAAATTAGTATTAAATTCTTTCCTTTTAGTTTGCATTAGTTAAAACATTCAACGCAACATATCGAAACGATTGAAAATCAACTTGTGAAAATTATTTATGCTCTCCTATTTTCAATAATTAATTCATTTAAAAATTAGGAGACGCGAGCTATGCAACCCGCACTCCTATCATAAAAATATATATAAATGTATAAATTTTAAGTGAAAAATAAAATCTATTAAAAATTTTATCATTCTATTTAATATTATTTACTGTGTTTAAAAACCACTAACTTATTTTGATTTAAATTCAACAATAAATAACTGAAATAACAACCAAAACGGAATTCAACGAATTTGGGTTATACCGTATAAAAATAAACAAACAGGTTCATTAAAATAGAATTAAGCGCAATTTAATTTTAATTAAACAAATCAATATTGCATATGCATTAATCTCGTAAGAATAAAATATTTTAAGGCCAAAATACAATAACAAAATATAATTCTCCACAACAAAAGAATTCATTATTTTTCTTAAAATCATTTACCGCGTCACTGTAAAGTGAAAAGTAAACCTGTACATATAATAAAATAAATTTTATCCCTCGGGGCAATAGAGGCTGTTGATTTCCTGTTTGGCAAAAGGACTCAATATCTGTTCACATCTGCGAGAACAACAAATATTTAATCCTGAAATATGAGCATCCTATTCCTATCTCCTGTTTTGCAAACATGCAGTTCGCGAAAATATCCTACAAACTGCGTCTTAATAGCAGCGCGCGCGCACTGTGGCACAGCTTCGTATGGCAGAGCGGTGTGAGGCGATAACGCAACTTACTGCTTTTATATTACCAACAAATCTTGTATTTCTAAAGGCCTTCCAAGAACATTTTAATTACAAAAATGGCAATTAGATTTTAGGATGGGGGATCATGGGTGAAAAAAATATGACTAAAAACAAATGGAACCGAGATAAATCTACGTTGCCGATATTGATGCCATGTTAACTCGACTGTTCAAGACCGGGAAGTGACGTTGACTGAATATTAGACTTGTGGGAAAGACTTGCAGACTGCTTTGAAGACTTGGACCTCTCTTCTCCCTGCGCAGAAGCAAGCTTCTCTGGACGATAATCGGTTCCTTCAAACTCCGACTCGGGTTTCCTCTTCACCTTCTTTGTCAAAACTCCATCTGCAACCCTAACATCTTCCAGATTGATTGAAGTTCCCTTCACTTTCTCCTGTTTTGGACCATTCACCAACGGACTGGAGCCCCCAACCGTATTAATTGTATTAGAAACTGGCTTGCTCACCGAAGCAAATGCATGAATGCTAGATTCTGGTGTTAATCTCTCCCGCACGTTCTGTTGTGAAGCAACTGAACTAGGATCATATCGACCAGCCTCTTGCTGAGATGGTAACACCCTTTTACTGCTCTTAACTTTTTCGTGATCCTAGCAAGCAAATCAATGGAACGGAAATCAACTAAAAATGACTGCAGAAGGTGAGATGCTTATTGTTGTGCAAACAGAGAAATTTTCTTGTAATAATAGGAATGGCTTGGAGGGGAGGCGGAAGAAAAAAGACACATTAAAAGATAACTAAAGCATGCCTTCCGTCTCATATACAGTGCTTTGCGCCTCTCCTTTGCCCTGCAGATTGCCTTTTTAATTCCACGGTTGTCCATGTAACCATTTGGCCATAATTCCGCAAGCTGAACAAGGAACAAGAGATGAAGTGTTGAGGAAAAGAGAATAACACAAATATAAAGAGCCTCCCCAAATTCCTTTCTTAAGAGATTAAATCAGACATGACTGGCAATGCATATAACAATACTCCCAGAAAATTAACTAGAAGAAATGCTCCTAAAAAAACATGAGTGATTCTTGGGGAAGGAAACATCAAATTGGGAGGCGGAAGGTTATCATATGTAAAAGTGAGGGGCTTGTAAGCCCATTAAATTTTCAATACAAGTTCTAACTTCAATGTCTTGAAGGGATGAGAGGTTTAGAACACATAGTGCACCCTATCATTTTAGATGCAACTAATTTTAACTTGCATTAGAATGCAATGATGAGATGATACCAAAACAAACAGAGAGGAGCAAAGAACCCCAAAAGAAAAAAAAGTGACCAAGTTTCTGCTCCTCAGCATCATTATGCAATACCACAAATACGCAACACCCACAACCGAATAATCTTTAATTAAAGAAATTCACAGCACCTCAGCATACAACTTTCGGATCTGTGGGCCTGCATCATCGTCCAATCCCTAGATCAATTGCAAACATGTCACAAAAGAGCTTTTTCACGACCCAAAAGATTTTAAAAATCAGTATTTAACAAACAAAACTTCAGTACATCAACAAAAAGGTCATAGAGATCACAAAGCTTGTCCTCCAATGCAGTATCCATTCTTTTCTCCGATGCTTTTCCATCAGGAACAAATTCTTGAAAGTCACCAGAAGCTGAGGCTTGTTGCTGCTGCTGAAATGCCCAAAAAGACCCATTAATGCATGAAGCATCTCAAATTAAATAACCAAAACAGTGAATCTCAAATAGGATTGTAAAAGGACCATCAAGGTGCAGACCAAGCACCCGAAAATAACCCATACATGATCAATTTACAACTACAATCAAGACAAATCAAACCAACCAAAAAAATAAATAATAATAATAAATAATCAAATCAGGCAAATGATCCATCTGCAAGCATGCCTTGAACCATGATTACCCGAGTGGTCAGCACAAATACGGGTTCACACTTCACACCCAACTGAAGAGTAACACTTGATGGGAGAATCGGGAAAAAAAAATGATGATGGCGGCAAAAAAATGAAGCACCCTATTAAAGCCATTATAAGCTCATCATGTTGTGAGTGAAAATGGAAGGCATGCATACCTTGGGTTCCAGAGATGGAGCCTGCATCTTAATCATGTCAACAACCTCCTTCTTTATGCTTTGAAACCTAGCATCTTTCTCCTGCTTTGCTGACAAACCCATAGTGATCATGATTTTTAGGTGTCTCTGTAGCAGCAAGACATTGCATGACAGGACAAGTAGTTTCAGCCATCAAGGGAACCGAAATACAGAACAATAAATATAGACACAGAGAAGAACTGTTGCAAAATTTGTAAGCCTAGGTTTTATACAACAAACCAGTAATGACAGGGATGGATACTCCACCAGAGAAAGGCAGAAAACAATTTTCATTCCCATTAATATTGGCAATTTTTTATCATTAAAAAATAAGTAGTCATAGCCACCTCATGTTAAAATACTTAAGCGGAAGGTAGAAAAGGGAAAGGAAAGGGAAGGCAAACTCATCAGAAGTTCATAAAGTAGTCCAATTTGAACGTTGAATGTAACATGCAAACTGTAGAGTGCAAAGTATACATGATAAACAATCCACATTTCTTTTAAACAGATAACAGAGTTCTGCTTTATTTATGAAAGTAACCCAGTCACATGCAAAACTCCAGAGTTATCAAAACATGCCTAATCATTAAACTTGCAATAACTAGCACAAAAGCAAGGAAGTTGGCTGACCAGAAGAAAAAAATAGCACTCTAACTACCAGGTTTGATGACTTATAGTGACATGTGGGAATTGTTGTTTTTATATGTTTTTATGCGTTTTAGTTCTGTTGCTATCATCTATGTCTATTATGAAGTTGAGCTAGCTAAAATGTTAGCATGATGCTGAGTCAACCCGGGATGTGAATATGACCAGAAGTCAGTCAAGTAGTGGAGGTACCACACTGCAGCTAAGTAAAAAACTCTAGTCCGCAGAGGTCCCCATTGCATATTGGGATTAGGTGTGTTTTGTGATCAGATTCTGGATAGATCAGAAATTGTGTATTGGCCGTTGCATCAGATAGTAATGCTGAGAAATTGAGGTATCAATCATCAATTATTCTATGGAATTGCAGCACCAAAATAAATATTACCAACGTTAACCACCAAAAAAAATCAACTTAGAAATACAGCAAGTTTCAATTATATATTGTCAGCAAGAAAATGGGGTTAGAGGGCAGTAAAATTATAAAATGAAGCAACGGATACTGAAGGATCATCTGTATATATTCAACAGGCTGCAATACCTTCAGTGTTCTGAGTTGAATCAAGTGCCCCAGAATACTCATAAGACGATTAATTAACTCTTTTGATACTTTCCCATGGCTTGCCTGCTGCAGCAGAAAGAAAGTTAATATCAAATTATTTAAAATCGTTATGAAACAATAGAATATAATATTATGCATGTCTCAAGATGCATTCAACCTTTTCTCTTGTAACAGAATTATTGATATTGATGAAACAAATAAATGAAGTACATACGTTGGACGTAAGGAATTCAGACAAAAATGAGCCTAAATGACTGAAATAACAAACAAAGACATCCAGCGAATTTGGAAATCAACTGATTAAAAAAAATTGTTAAAAGCTTCTTAAAATTAACATTTGCATGTACCGCTAATCTAGCAACTTTAGAAAGCTTTAGCTTTATCTCTCTAGGCAGTCTTCTTTTGACTGCTTGGGACGTAGTATCAGCCTCTTGGTTTTCCATTGCAGGTGGCCTTGCTGTAATATTACCACACCAAAAAAAAAAAAAAATCAGCATTTGCACAAAACTCCCCGAAATTCACATCTGAGTATTGCAGGATTCACAATGGTATCAGAACTTACACTCTGCAACTATCTTCTCCAACTCTCTAATAGCCTTTTCAAGCATTGAAGTTTTTGGCCTAACACTAGTACCTTCTTTCTTGTGCGTGTATGGCAATTTCTGCAGAATATTTGAACAAATGGGGGACAACCACAAGCAAAATAGATCTTATATTAATACTAGTATCTCTGCCTAGAAGAAAAAGGTGCAACAATATTCAAATAGCAGAACTCAATTGTCACAGATTTCAGCATCAGCGGTCAAATTGTCACAAGAGTTAAGAAGACGAAACATTTTACATCATAGAAGGTCATGAGGAAGGCATCAGAAATACACCTTAGTTTGTTATAATTTTTCTTCCAATTTTTCTAAAGACAATTGCCACAAGCATGCTACTACCACTTAGTTTGGATAGATGATATTTTAGATGATGGAGCATGCCTCATGAGTTGTGGCAGCCAAAATAAAAATCAAGTGAGAGGATAGAAGCTCAATAGCCACGGAATGAAGAATCCATTTCTAAAATCCACATGACAACTTCCATATGTTTTCTTTGGCCAAAATTCCATATGTTTTTTTACTTCCTGTTATTAATGCACAAATGACACGAAGACTTCCACTTCCTTTTGCCTTGTTCTTCAGCTCAATTGTAGTGGAATTCAAAGCTCACATTGACTGGGAAAAACATGTAACGTCTCAGTGTAGTTTTGATCTTTTGCCAGCAAAAGAAACTAAATCTAAAGCAAGCATGCTTATTTGGAGGGTAGTTCCAGCTGGCAAAACAGGATGCTTATAGCTGGAGAAGCACCCTTTCATTAAGTTGCAGAAATGAATGAGTGGAAGCACTGCGGAGGATATCCCCCACCTTCTTTTGGGAGACTTGTTTCTCAGGATTATTAGATGTGTTGCCCTTCAATTTTAGTGAATTCTTAGAAATAAAAAAAAAATACAAAAAATAATCTGGTGGTCCCCAAAAATCTTCTTTTTTTTGGTTGTCCCCAAGAATCTTCTATCTACAAAAGATTGAAAGCAAACAGCAGAACTCAGGCCCAAAAAAAGACTCTACAAGCGAGAAGAAAAAAATAAACAAACTCACTGTTGCTTGCATGGTAGTTCTTGCCTCAGACAAGTTAAGATCTGGCAGTTCAAAGATGCCATGTTTTTCTTTTGACTGAACTCTGTTCTCCACACCATCAATACCGCTGGTAGGTCTTCCAGGTTGGGATTTGGAATGTGCATAGGAACTTTTTTCATGGTATTTCTTTTGATATGCACCAAATGATCCACTGGCATCTTTGTATTTGTCATTTGCATTCCTGCATTGAAGATTTCCTAAATTCTGCTTATCAATATCTTTTGCTTCTACCACTACTGGAGGGGTATCATCATTTGATACATTCACAGAGACAGCAGGATCTGATACTGATTTAGTATCAGACATATTCTTTTTTGAACTGGATACCAATTGACTCTGAAATTTAAAGTCATCATAATGTTCAATAGATACAGGCAAGTTCTGTGTGGAATTCAGCGTCTTTTTCACTGGTATTGATGCTGCCTTTCCAGCTGCAGTCTTTCCCACTTTTTCATGTTTATTTGATTCTTGACCATCATAACTTTCACCGGCATTCTTTAATATATCTTTCCTCCGCCTCTTCTTTGGTTGCTGGTTTGGTAAGACCAGAGGCTCATTTCTAGTAAAAGTGGAAGGAACAACTGAAAATCACTAAAAAATAATGAATTTTTGTAAAATTTGATTTATTTATTCTAATATTAATCAACAAATTTAGAAAATCATTGCAACAGTACCAGAGCGATGTCATCATAAAGAATATTTACCATAAACCAAGTAACAGCAAAAATGTTTAAAAATAAAAATAAAACTTACATGCGTTCCAACTTTCCCCGGTTCACAAAGAAACCATCATGTTTGATTGCGGAATTATCAACTTCAAAATATTCATCCTGTACAAAATTTCTAATATATTACCAACTTTCTAAAATACGGAAGATATACAAAGCAAGACGTGATTCAAAATTCCAAATATCCAGAAGAATATAATTTCTGCCAGCTATCAAAGGTCAACACATACATGAACCAAAACAATATAAAGATACCTACCAGCTCAGCATCATCAATGAAAGAGTCTTCTGTATCATATTGATCATCGTCTGGAACGTCAAGTAGATCGTCCTCATCACTGCTATCCTTGCCCTGAATTGATTAGTTCCCATTATTACCAAACTTATAATTATAAAGCTTAAATGCACATATATAAATCTATGGTTAAAACAAGACGTTGATAGAGAGCAGGGTAATGGTCCTGGAAGGCAATATACACATACCATATAAAGGCGTTCAATCTTCTCTATTACAGCACTGAACCGATGTGGAAAGGCGCCATCATTTGCTTCATTTTCAGTAGGTTGTCCCTAGAAAAGATGAGTAGAGGCTTGTAACCACATACAATTGCAACAAGACAATAAGCTGGAACTTAGGCCAAACACTTGGCATATGACAAGCTATTTTTAATAGTAGTACATTACTCGATTATCTTGAACCCGAGTCACTATAATAAATAAAATTCCATGTTATTTATTTCAAAATAATTCAAACATATGATCCATACAACAAGTACGAAAATACGAATCAAAATAAGGACATCTATAGCATCAAAAGACTCAAGTGTTTGTCTTATTATTCAGCCAGAAAAGGCAGCCCCAAAAAATCTAGAAATGCAAAGGGAAACAAGCATGAACTTGCATCACGCCAAGAACATGAAAAAAGAATATCAGGTCTTTACTAAAAAGAAAAACCCTACACAATTTAAAACAAACCACATGACAATGCAAATTGAAAAAATCGAATAAAGAGCATCCAGAGCCTTGCCTGCGAGATTAGTCGCATAACTGAAAACATCGAGACATATACAGGTTATTTCGTCCCACGACTTAACAATAAGTAACGTATTATCAAGCTTCCCTACGTCTGCCAAATAGTCCAGTAGAATATGTATTGACTAGAATAGGCACAAAATTCAAAATTAATTGCTTTTATTTTAAAATGCAATATTAGGAGAAGATTTCCCGATCAGTATAAAACCCCCTTTTCTACAGCTAGTAAAAGACCCCTTTAATGATCAGTTTTCCTGAATTAAACTCCCATGGACGGGAAGTAGCTGACAAGTTTCATATGGCTAACTAAATAACGAGAAGCCACACCCAAGACTCAATGAACAAGATTGTGCTCACCCATATTTGAGAAAATGCGCACAGTAAAAAGATGCAACCTATGGTTACTCTTAACTGCAATGTATTTAGAACTTCAGAAACACCCAGCCTTCGAAGATAAATCTAGAAGGATGCACATAAAATGACTGAGTAGTTAAGATGTCTCACGGGAGCGATTCTGGACTCCAGGGCGGGGTGTGCAGAGGTTAGATGTTCGGGAGCCAAAGTGGATCCATTAACCCTGTTGGAGTCTTTCATAAGCTTCTTCCACGAGACTATCGTAGTCTCTGCGGGCCGGAGCTCCACCGTGAACATTTGGCGGTCTCCCTTTTTCACGAAGGAGGAAGAAGTCCTCGACGAATCGCCGCCATCTCCACCTAGAGGACCTATCTGCTCCTCCATCCAAACCTACTGATGTCGTCGCAAATTCTTGGGCCTTGATTCGAAAATTAGGGTATGAAGAACACAGCAGGAGCAATCAGCCCTGGAAAGAATAGCAAATTGGCTGAATAGTCTGGGATGAAGAAATTGCGCGGGATTCCAACATACAGAAATTACGCGGAGAGGGGAAAAATTAAATGAAAAGGAACCTGAATGGGATTAACAGAAATTCGACTTCGTCGTAAAAATTTTCTTGCTCTTTCTTTCCCGAGAAGACGAGCGAAGAAAAGAATATCGGGTCGGGTATAATTTGGGCCCAGTTGAGTTCCAGTCCCTCAGCTTGGAGCTTGGATCCCAGGAGGAGCGAGGAGGTCACAGGCCTCCGACACCGAGGCAGGAATTAGAACGGCAGCTTCTCGCATGGTTGGCTTGGCACCTGGTTGAGATGGGAAATTAGTGAATTAGTATTTTTTGATTTTTTTTTTCACCTTCAAATTAGTAAATTAATGTCAGTGATTAATAATACTGCAATAGGAACGAGTAGCTTAGCTGAACAGTAAATCCATGCCTTATAGAGTATATTATCTAAAATAAGATGTTATTTATAATTTATATTTTATAAATAATACAATCTAATCTATTTATATAGTAATATGTGAAAAAATACGTTTACATATTGATGCGTGGTGGTAACAGTGAGATTAATTATAAAATCGGGTACTGCATTATCCCCATGAAAAATGAATTTGAATGTGCAGTTTTCGTATTGATTTGGAACTGTTTAATATAAACACTTTAATATAAATTAAGATAAAATATGTATAAAGATATATTTATATTTATTTCATGTTTCATAAATCACGGTTAAAAAGATATTTTTTAGAATTTCAATCTCCATTCGAAACAAGTGTAATTGTTTACACTTCGCTTCTCAGCCATCTAGATAGGAAGGCGACAATGAACCATTGTTAAATATGCGTGCTTTAAATCTGCTTAGCTGCTGAGAACGAACAAAGCGTAAGGATTTGGGACGGTAGATAGATTTGTCCTGAGATAATTTCTCTCCCAGCAATATGAATACCACGAGAACAAGAGGAGTTGCTGACTTGGGAGATCACGGCATATGGAACCTTATCCTTCTGCGGGGCAGGGAATATCATCTTGCTTGATGGGGATTAATTTTAAAAGATACCCGACTATGGATTGATTTTGTCGCAAAAAATGAAAGAAAATGAATTGATTTGGCTTGGGGTCCAAAACAAATGAAGGATGAAAATAGAGCAGGGATCAACTTAGTGCATTTGTATAGGAACTTTTGACAAGTAATAAATTTGCTACTGTCTTATTAAAAACAAAAAAATCCAGTCAAAGCTCATATATTTTTTTCATCGACACCATCCAGGTTTATTCAGCATTATTTTTATTAATGATTTTTTAATGAATCTAATTTAAAGGACTTAAACTTCGTATTTCATTAAAAAAGAATTGAAGCTTCGAAGATAATTTTAAGACCTGATTTACTTTGTTATTGGCGAGAGTCTAAATTTTGAATTTCCAGACGCAACGGAGAAAATAGCAGACCAGCATCATAAATATGAATAGTAGGATTTCTAATGAAAAATAGTAGGATTCGACCGCGTCATGAATAACGATGGAGAATTTTTATTGGCCAAAATGCCTTTGAAGTTAGTACATGTGTCCTACGACGAACTAAAGCGAGGAGGCTCTCTCTGCGCCAAGATGCGAGTAGGGTAAAACGGACTAATCAACATAGAATTGATAAAGGCCGTCTCCGGTTGGAGCTTCCTTCTCTCTTCTTTTTTCGCTCTCTCTCTTTCTAGACTTCGTTTTGTTGACGACACCAACTCTCTCTCCCCCTCTCTCTCCCTGCGCGCGCGTCGCAGACCCAACGTCCTCCCTCTCCCCTCCCCAGAGAGGGAAATATCATTTTTCAATAAAATTGCTGGAAAGCACAATCTAACATCCTGGGCTGTTATTTACTTCTTCCATGTAATCTACTTGCTTTCCAAGTTTTGTTTTTATTCCTTATCAAGGCTTTTTTTTTTTTTTTGGTTTTTCTATTTTCACAATGTTTCCTTCACAACTGTGGATATCGGGAACACATGGTTCTGTTTGCATTCCCTAGCGGAATTCTGAATGTATGGGTTTTGTTATTATATATTTATTCTTTGTTTATTTTGGGTGCAGAGAGCCTCCGGAGAATGCAGCTTTTTAGGGTTTTCTCCGTGGGCTCTCATTTTTCTGAGAGCTTCGATTCAGGTAGTGATATTAACTCCTTCTTTCACGAGAGTAGCGATGAATGAAAGCAGTTTTAAGGATATATTGATGGATTTAGTGCAATACATTGTTCTCGGTTTGGTGATTTCCTCTTTTCAGAAATATAATTCTAACGAGGTGTTTTGTTGCCCAGCGACAGGTTAATGGTAATCTGCTAGATTAGAATGATTTATTCAAATTGAGATGGGCTCGTGTGGGAAATCAAGTATATTAGACGACGCCTCAAGCGGGTCTGTCATTGAGCAGCACTCACGCGCAGAGTTTCCATTGCAGTCTATTCCTGTGCAGCGGTCCTGTCCATTAGTAACTTGCAATGCATTGGACACTAATGTGGAGCACTCCAATATGATGGAGGGACGTATGATTTCGTCTAGAGAGGTCCACACTGGGTGTGCCAGCTCCATTGTTGCTCCAGAGATGTCCAGAGATTCATGGTTGATGGCGAAGGAAAATGACAATACTGATAGGTTACAATGCTCAGGTACAGTAGTAAGTTGCAATGCGGTAGACTCTAATGTTAAGCGCTCCAATATGATAGAAGGTTGTATGAATTCGTCTGGAGAGGTCCACACTGGGTCTTCAAGTTCCACTGATGTTCCACAGATATCCGGAGATTCATTGTTGATGGAGAACAAAAGTGAAAATACGGTTAGTTTACAGCGGTACTGTCCAGTGGTTACTAGCAATGTGTCGGACTCTAATGCTGAGCACTCCAATATGATCGAAGGTTCTGTGGATTCATCTAGAGAGGTCCACACAGGGTCTGCAAGCCCTGTTGATGCTACAGAGGTGCCCAAAGATTCATTGTTGATGGTGAATAAAAATGGAATTACTGATATTTCACAACAGTCCTGCCCAGTAGTAACTTCCAATGTGTTGGACTCTAATGTTGGTTGCTCCAATATGATGGAAGGTTGTATGAATTTGTCTAGAGAGGTCCACACTGGGTCTGCAGTTTCCATTGATGTTCAAGATATGTCCAGAGATTCACTGTTGACGGTGAACAAAAATGAAAATACCGGTACACGTTCAGTTGTAGCTTCCAATGTGTCGGACTCTGATGTTGAGTGCTCCAATATGGCGGAAGGTTATATGAATTCATCTAGAGAGGTCCACTCTGGGTCTGCAAGTCCCATCAATGCTTTGGAGATGCCCAGAAATTCATTGTTGGAGAACAAAAGTGGAAATACTGATATTTTACAACAGTCCTGTCTAGTAGTGACTTGCAATGCGTTGGACTCTAATGTTGAGCACCCCAACCTGTTGGAAGGTTGTATACATTCAACCAGAGAGATGGGAGGCTCCATTGATGCTCCAGAGGCAATCAGAGATTCATTGCTGATGGAGAACAAAAGTGAAAATACTGATCTATTACAACAGTCCTGTCTAGCAGTAACTTGCAATGCGTTGGACTCTAATGTTGAGCGCTCTAACATGATGGAAGGTTGTATGAATTCATCTAGAGAGGTCCATACAGGACCTGCAAGTCCTATTGATGTTCTAGAGAGGTCTGAAGATTCTTTGTTGATGGTGAATAAAAGTGAAAATACTGAGATGTCACTTCTGGAGAAAACCTCAGAGAATGAAAGCCAGACTTGTCCAAGTATATTTTGTGCGCAAATTAAACTTTCTAATCTAGAAAATGTCAGGTTGGTCTCGGAAGGAAAACCTCATGCCAAAGATGGCCTCAAAATGCCATCAGACTTCATATTGACTAGTGGTTCACCTAAGGATTGTGTTCATCAGGATGGGCACAAGGATGAGAAGAGCAACATATTCCACTCTGAAGGTGAAAAAGATGCTGGTTTACCAACTGGCTTCCTGGTTTATTACGACCAACAAAGCGAACAAGAGGACCCTATGAGAAATGCTAATCAATTGTTGGAGGGTGTCAACGAAGGTGATTTGATTTGTGGGATTGAAGCTGATGCCTACAAGCAGACTCATTCACAGGGCAGTGAAGTACCCACAGATGTAATATATACTGAAGCAGAGGCCACAAGTGATCAGAAAGATGGTGACGATGAAAATAGTCCTGATGAAGACTTTGTTGATAAAGAAAGTATCATTAATACACATGTCCAAGTATTCTCCTCACCAGGCCATGAAAGGATCCTGGGGAGTTTGCCTGTAACTTGTTCATCTAGCGAGGCTATCCACTCAGATAAGGAGAAGGGGATTGATGATATCGATACTGATTTTGATGCAGAAGGTGTTGTGAAAGTTAAGGAAAAAAATAATGATGTTAGTACTGAAATAAATGTTGAAATGAAGAACAATATGCCAAAAGATGATAATGCATGCAAGTTTAATGACAGTTCCTCAAAAACTCATGCCAACTGTACCTTGAGAAAAACGTTTCCTCCTGAATCAGATCTTCCTTCTGTTGACTATATCAGTATTAGCTCTCCAAGGGACGTGCCTGATCTTCTCAAGGAGGTAAATGGTTCCATCAGTTATAATAGCCTTGTGGGCGATTCTGGGGAGGCAGACTGTATTAGGAAAGATATTATACAAGTTGATTATATCTCTGAAGGCAATTATTCTGGGAATGCGTCCTTGCCTATTCGAAGGAATAGTCGAAGAAGTAAATCTAGTCATAAGACACAGACCAAAAGGGCTTCGAGGAAATGCAAGAACAAAACCAGTGTGCCACTCCTAGGTGGGGATATGAAGATGATCCTGGAGGCTGCTAGAAGGAAAAGAAGCTGTTTCTCTAAACCAGCTCGTTCTTCTATCTGGGGATTGGTAGGAAACATTAATAAGTTTTTTGAACAAGATAATGATATTGGAGTTGATCAGGTTATGTGTCAAGGATTGGGGAAGGTGAGAGGTGCCCGTAAAAGTGGCACAAGGAACAAGAAGGGTGCAATTTCTAGCTCACTGAGTTCAACGAAGAAATGCTGTGCTTCAACGACTCGTGTTCGCTTGAAGATTAAACTGGGGAAAGAAGTTCATTTAAGTTGTTCAGATGTCTTGGTTCCAGATGTTATGAACGGTTCATGTTCTGCTTCTAATGCGGGGCCTGGTCCAGGCTCTCAGGAAAGAAACAGCAATGCTGGCAATAAATGTTCAGAAGCGGTTGAAGTAGGCAAGTCTGAATCTTTAACAAACAGCCTGGATGAGGATGCCCTTGTTCTGAATGGACAAATGGCAAATCATCACTTTGAAGCTGCTGCAACAGAAGACAAGTCAGATGAGGTCACCGAGCAAGTATTGCATATGATCTCTCCAGAGAGCATGATTGAACCGCTGAGAGAGACACGTAATGATAAGGGGATGGATCCTGGAACTTCGCCTGATTCAGAAGTTATCAATTCAGTTCCTGAAGTCCAGGGTGGAGAAAGACATCAACAAGGTTTGCACGATTCTATTCTTGGTTCTTCTATAGTGTCTGCTGGTGGGAGAAGGAAGAAGCAAGACAAACTTACTTCTTCAAGTAGTTCTGTTGTTGAAGATGGCTCACAAGGGCCACCAAGGAAAAATAAATCCAAGCACTCAAAGAATCGTGGACGTAAAAAGAATCCCAATGATGTTGTTTGCTCCATGAGTTTGCATACTTCCACTAGTATAAATGCCGTGAGCTACTCAGTAAGCCATAAAGAATTATCCAGTGAATCATTGCCCCCATCTGGAGAGATTGAACTTGAAGACTCCGCTGAGGCTTTGAAAGTAAAAAATGACATGAAAGTTGAGACTACTTGCAGCCCAAATGACAATTATGAGCTTTCAGCAAGATCCTCAGGTCGTAAACTTCCTAAAAGTCTTACATCTTGTAAAATCATCACTCCCAAATCAAAAGCTTCTAACTCAATGAGCCGGAAAAAGACTGGTAGCAGACGTAGGGAGAAACAACTGAAACCTATTGAGAAGAGTGAAGTCAAGGGAAAAGCTGTTTCTGAAAAGGTTATCTCTGAAGCAGAAGATTGTGCAGGTAGCTCTCTGAGAACATTAAATGGACTTTGGAAGTTTTGTGATATTCTTATCTGCATTTTGGCTACTTCTTTTACTGGACTTCAAGTCCTTCATGTCTGTCTAAATTTTGTTGATCTTAGTTTTTTGAATTCTGTTTGTCATTTCGTTTGAGCATTTAAATGGAAGTTTTCATATGATGTTACAGGACATGTTGATGGAAGTGGTAGATTGGATGATGTTGGAAAAACTAATGCCGGTGACAACAAAGTATCAGTAAATGGATCCAATTTGGACACAATAGTTAGTACTGGTTTGGGGGAGCAGCATCCATCACTTCATAATGCATGGGTGCGCTGTGATGATTGTCACAAGTGGCGGCGTATTCCTGTTGAGCTTGCAGATCTAATTGAAGAAAAACAGTGCACCTGGTATCTCAATTTTGTAGTCCACATTTTGATTTTGCATGGCCCTTGCATAGAAGCTGGATATTTAAATATTGGATAAGAATATGTTTGCCAGTCGACTCTATTAATGCAAAACGATGTGCCAGTTTTTTTTAATGATTCACTATATAGTACTTGAGCTTCTTGTTACAAGTTACAATATTTTCATTATATTATTCATTGTAGTCTTGAGAGTCATGTTATATATACGTTACTATTTATGTTATCTTATCTTATTGTATTACCTTTTATGTTGCATATGAGGCAATTACTTAGTCTATTGCTCCTAATTTTGTAAAATAATTGGCATCGTGCCATGTATGCTTTTCTTTTAGGACCTGTAAGGATAGCAATGATAAAGCCTTTTCTGATTGCTCTATACCCCAAGAAAAGTCAAATGCAGAGATCAACGCAGAGTTGGGATTATCAGATGCATCAGGAGAAGAAGATGCTTATGAAGGCCGTAAAAAGGATAAGAAGTTGGAATATCATCACCCAACAGGTATTTAATACTGCTTAGACAGAAAATCATAAAGTAAAGCTTAATGCTGGGCTGTTTTTGGCATGTCCTTCCATCCTGATTCATTAATTCTACTATTTGTCTGATGTGTGTCTTTTTCTTTCAATGTTTTCCTCCAGTTCACCAGGAGTCAACTTTTACCCATGTTCTTACTAATGAGTTTCTGCACCGCAGCCGCAAAACTCAGACTATTGATGAGGTTCAAAATGGTTCTATTTCTTTTTACTATTTTGCATTCTCTATGTTGAGTTGAATCAGTTTGCTGCTGGTTGCTCACCAGCATCAACCTGAATATTACTGCCTGGCACTACAACTTGCGCCATTGTATTTTGGGGTGATAGAAGGAATTTCTTTTGGTAATTGTTAATAGAAGAAATTTAACTAGGAAGAAAGATGCGTCACTTGACTACAGGTATCAGGTTTGGGTTGAATGCAGTAGTGTTAAATACTTGGTTGTAGAGCTTTGCTTCCCTTCGTGGTCCTACCTAAGACCTCTGGTCAAGTGTGTCTCCTTTTCTATCCTCTGTATGAGTTTTCTTACATTGTAACTCCCATTTATTCCATTGAGGGGAGGAATATTTTGATATTTAATATAAATTCATTGTTCAATATCTACTATTTTGCCTGGGCTCTGTTACATTCCATTGTCTGACTTGCAGAGGCACTAGGACCTCTTATTAGTTGACTTCTTTCTTTCTTTCTTTTGTTTTCTTGTCCTTTTCCTTTTCCTTTTCCTTTTTTACCCCCCTGGGGTATGATTCTGATGAGTCATATTCCCTCTTTTTCCTACCCTTTAAATTGTAAATCTTACTGGGCCTGGAGTCATCGGATTCCTTCTCCTCCTTTTTTATATTTTTCTGTTCCTCTAATAAATATTTTGTTCACAAAAAGGACAGTGAAAATGTTATCATTGTACATCTGAATCAGATTTGGGTGACATGGGGAAGATATGCCTAAGACTTGAACTACTTACGCTTTTATACATGAGGGTGATCTGATGGGGATTGAATAAATTGATGATCATATCTTATTTTCTTCATGATGCAAAGGACAAGGATTCACGTGTTTAGTTGCCCTGCATGGAGCACCAGTCAAGTCGATGCACTGGCTTTTTTCCCATTTTCTTCACTTGTCAATGTCAATAATGATACTTTTAAATTTTACTCTTGATTAAGTTGTGTGTTTAATCATGGTTTGGTAGGCATTGAAGTTTGAATCAAGCTTGTAAATTTTGTAAATTGTTTGATAGCTTGTGAGATTTGTGAATTACAGATTAATTTAACATGCTTTACTCATTGTGCTCTTGAACTTGTATCAGATAATGGTTTGCCATTGTAAACCACCATCAGAAGGTAGGTTTGGTTGTGGGGATGAATGTCTAAATCGGATGCTCAACATTGAATGTGTTCAAGGAACCTGTCCATGCGGGGATCTTTGTTCAAATCAACAGGTATGTAAACTATTTATTCTTCTGCTGATTCTTTTTACTGCCATTTGGTGTGAAAGAAATCAATGCAGTCCGATTTTTCTTATTTCAGTTCCAGCAACGCAAGTATGCCAGCTTGACGTGGTTCAAATGTGGGAAAAAAGGTTACGGGTTGAGGGCTGTTGATGATATATCTAAAGGGAAGTTTCTTATTGAATATGTTGGGGAGGTAAGTTGAACAAGACCCTGCCTTTCTTTTTGTATTCTCCCCTTGCTCTATTGATTCTTTGGTAATGAGATATTTTCTGAAGCCGAATTATGAAATTGTGGAACCATTTTGATGGTTTTGTGCTATATTTTTGCTTTTTATTGGTCAGAAAGAATTAACACGATCTTTAACAAAGTCATGGATGCGCTCAAGTTGGATCTGCCTTCCTATTTTCTTCCCTCTTTCCATCTCTTCCTTCACAGATAATAGTTGTGGATCTTCCACCCCTTTATATTCTTTGTTGCTTCTGGACCCAGTACTGTAAATTATTCCATGTGTTGGCAGATAATACGGGTTAGGCTGATATGGTTTGTGTTGACCAGCACCATATACTTTCAGGAGATAAGGGGGAGAGTAGTTTGGCCTGTTTCCTTTTGTAGAATTGGTATTGCATTTTGAATGGTACTATAAAGCGGCAAAAAGCAAAAAAATTTATGCTTTTAACTGAGTTCCAAAAAGGGGAAAAAAGTGTTTATCTCCTTTGCAGGCCCCCATATGAAACTTATTTGCCTTCAATCTTATATTGAGAACAGGCTTACTGCTTCCTTTTATTACACTAATCATAGTGATGGAGGTGGATGGATCAAGTTTGATCCATCTATTAGTTTTAACCACTCAACCTGATGATATATGCTTTTAGTTGACTTTTCTAGGGTAAAAGAACTACCTATATCTAACAATAAACTTTTGCTGCTCGTTATATGGAAAAAAGGGTAATATAAGCTGATTGTTTTTTTTGTTTTTTTTGTTTTTTAAAAAATTGGAGTATGTTATTTCTTGTACTGTTGGTATAAACACTGTTATTCATTTTTAGGTGCATGGCAGCGGGTTTAGTTTTGTGTATGAACAGTTGATGTGTTGCATGCACACATAATTGATCTTTATTTACAATGTATCTAATTATCATTTAACCAGGTGCTTGATATGCATGCTTATGAGGCACGGCAAAGAGAGTATGCTTTCAAGGGTCATCGGCATTTCTACTTCATGACCTTGAATGGCAGCGAGGTATGAATTTAGCATATTTTTATTTTGGTTGAACCAATACGGTTTTAATTTTAAGATATGAAGCTCTGATTTACAATCAGAATCATGTGATGATGGAAAACTCAAACTTCTCAGAATAGAACACCTAATGAGCTATATATTGCCGAAATAACACAATGAGCACAGAAAAACTTACATAGAGACAGAAAATATTCCTTGGACAGAAGTTTATAGCACACTGTCACACACTGGAACAAATTATTCCACTGGATACTACTGGACAAAGATAGCCTCCCTACTGGCTAAATGTATCTTCTAAGACAAGAGCTTACAACTCGAACACTTTTACTTACTACCACTCACTCCCCCCATCTTCATACTAATCACTGCAATGCAAACACCTTGCATATTCACGCAGCAGTAACAAAAATGAAAATGAAGAACAACGGATGCCAACTTTCAAGAGGTTGGCTCTTTTCCACCAAATCCAGATCCAGAATTATGTTTTGCTCACTCTTTTCTTAACTTTCCTTTTATACACCCCTGTGAACTACACTTCAACTTCTCCTGCCTGCATCATCATTATTCCTCTTTTTGTTCCTCCATTGGCAATTTTCCCCATAATTTCCTAACTTCAGTTGCACTGTGTATCTTGCTTGCTGCGTAGTTTTCTTCAATTATTTGTGACTTCTTCATTCCTACTCATATTTGTAAATTTTCAGGTGATAGATGCAAGTGCAAAAGGAAACCTGGGACGTTTCATTAATCACAGTTGTGATCCTAATTGCCGAACAGAAAAGGTGAATACATCATCTATCTCAGCGCTGGATCTAGAATTCCAAATTAGTTAGTTAATACCGTTCCTTTTCCTTTGCTCGTCATCACTCAACCATTTTTCTTTTTCTCATTGTGGACAGTGGATGGTGAATGGCGAAATCTGTATTGGACTTTTTGCATTGAGGGATATAAAGCAGGTGTGCTTGCAAGTTGTACTCTTTTATGTCTACCTTTTGTGGTTGAGTCAACTAGCTCTCTAGAATCTGTGTTGTATCAATTCTTATGGCCGTTTTAAATTGGTTGTGATTTTGGGTAACGAAGTGAGGGGGTGTTGCTCTGGGTTTTACATGCCTGGACCTGCAGTTCTGGCATGCAAGAAAAAGGAACCCTTCCAGGATCTCTTGATGCTGGGCGATCTTAATACAAGGAGGAAAACAATCTGGTCAGGATCAATTAATCCTGCTAGGATCATAAGATTAAGATCTGACTATTGGATCTTGAAATTGAAAAAATCGCATGGTTCATGCTTAGATTAGTCATTTGTTGAGTCAGATACATCTCGAAACATTTAAATTGCTGAAAGTATCATACTGAATTCCTTTCAATATTATGACCTCTATATTGAGGTTACTAGTGAAGGAAAAATATATATTTTATTCTTTTTTTTTTGGGGTGGGAGGTGGTCTAGTGCTATACGGAGGTCTTGGAAGTCATACTATCTTACATTGTAATATAAACATAGCTTCTTTGTATGCCCTCGACTATGAGCATGCAGAAGGTTAATTCTGTTCAGCTAAACTTATTGTTGTCCGTGATCCCCAGGGTGAAGAGGTGACATTTGATTACAACTATGTAAGGGTCTTTGGTGCTGCTGCCAAAAAATGTTATTGTAGTTCACCTCTATGTCGTGGTTATATAGGTGGTGGTGATCCACTTAATGCTGAAGTCATTGTTCAAGGTGATTCAGATGAAGAATTTCCAGAACCAGTGATGCTTACCGAAGGTGGTGAAATTGAAGGCAGTATACCTAGATCTGATGTTATGCATGCTGAAAGGAATTTGTCAAAAGACAGAGATCTAGTTGACAAGTCTAGAAGTGCTCAAGTGCCAGGCAATAATCAGGAGGAGAATTCTGTAATCCCATCTCCTGCTATTTCCCTGTTGCACTGCCCATTAGATGGGGAAGATTCAATGGGCAAATTGCCATCATCTGACATGGAAGAAATTTCTCAACAAATGGAGGATGTGATTAGTAAATCCATGCCTGCTGTACAACCACGGTATTTGTTGAAACCAGAGCTTCCTGACAATATTTCTTCCAGCCAAAGAATGGAGGCTTCTGCTACACCTATTAGTAAAATGATGTCAAATTTTATTAAGAATAAAAGAGAATCCAAGTCTGAAATAGTTGAGGACAGGCCTGGTTTTCCAAAAACACATATGCTTGTGAAGACCTCTCGAGCAAACAGTTCAGTTAAAAAGGGAAAGGTTCATGCTAATCATTCAAATGGCCTCAAAGCTGCAGTGGCAGCCAACAGATTGCAGGTAGCATCAATCAAACCTAAAAAGGTGGTGGAAGGTTCTTCCAATGGCCGTTTTGAAGCAGGTTTGTCTTTCGTATTTATTTTGGTATTTTTTAACATGGGTATTGTGCTGAGAAATTTGCCAATTGGTTAATGCTTCTTGATACCTGCAGTTCAGGAGAAACTTAAGGAGTTGTTAGATGAGGATGGAGAAGGAGGAATAAGCAAAAGAAAAGTAAGTAAACTTTGCATTGGTCATCCAAGCAACATGATATTTTGTAGGAGGTATTTGTATTTGGAAGCTTGTGCATAACATACATGTTTCAATGCCTTTTCCTGGTGTTAATTTTGGCTTAGTCATCTTAGGAAGTAGGAATCTTCAACCTCTACTCCATAATTTTTTTTTGGGTAGTTAACTACTATTTTGTTTTGACCTAATATGTTGCACAGATATTGTCGTATGATAACATATTGTGCCATCCTTCTCGTTGATTTTAATATTTGGTCTAAACTCTTATTTTCGAGTTATACCTTATTTTGCCACCTTGGCAGCTCTGTATATAAAATTGGTTTTTCATTTTTTCTTATAACAGGATGCAACCAAAGGCTACTTAAAGCTGCTGCTTCTCACTGTGGCATCAGATGATAGGAATAATGGCGAAGCAATTCAAAGGTCCCTAGCTTTTTGCTTTTCCACTGATCATATGTTGAGACTTATTCTAGCCATCTAAACAGTTTGTAAAGTAATGTAAATTTTGTTGCAGCAATCGAGATCTTTCCATGATCCTTGGTGCCCTTCTGAAAACAAAATCTAGAGCAGTGCTGAATGATATAATTAACAAGAATGGTAAGATGTGCTTGCTGGTTATCAATAGGATGGCCCAAACCAATCCTACCTCCTGGGTGGGCTTTGGGTTTAGTTATTGCAAAGGGTGACTAAATCTTCATCTTTCAGGTCTGCAGATGTTGCATAACATTATGAAACAGTACAGACGGGATTTCAAGAAAACTCCCATACTACGGAAGCTTCTCAAGGTGATTTAAGTAAAAATACTGTTGTATCATCATGGTAGTTATCTGCTTTCACCTTACAGGTTAAGTGTATTTAAATCCATTACTCTGCTAAGCAACTGTATGTCATTGAATTATTTTCTTAAAAATAGTATCAATAATGAATTAAGTGAATAATTTCTTTCTGAAGCTTTTGTGAAATTTGCAGAAAACTTCAACCATGTAGTTAGTCCTTCAATTGTAAGGTTATCTTGCAAAGTCACGATGAGCATTAATATTGTGGGCTCCTGATATTTGGAGGGCAAATTGGAGAACATTGGGGATTTTTTTCTTCTTTGTTGGTCTTCCATTTACTTTTTTAAGATGAAAGATGTTCAGTAATTCCAAGTGTTATTTTCTGATTGTTAGAGTGGTTGAAAGAATCTATTGTCGTAACTTAAATATACAATGATAACTTCATTGAAGAATGACATACTTTTAATCACAGCATTGAATTTGCGGAAGTTTGTGTAATATAGTATCATGCTGTCAGTCCTGTCTATTAAAAGCACGAAGATATTTTCTGAGACCTGGTTGTTTTTAGATAATAGCTTAAGCTGAAGTAGTCTGATATTTATCTGTCAACATCTTATGACTTTGGAGGCTAGGATTTAGCAAGGTTAAACTGTAAGTTACTAATTTGGTGCATAGATGTGACTTCTCCATACTTGTCAAGAAACTAATAACCAATAACTTTATGACTCCTATTTTTACTTTTAGATGTTGGCTAATTCAATTCCGCTTTTTCACTTTATATGCCATTATGTGTTTTCCTCATTTTCCTCAAGGGAAGTGATCGAAGATAAGAAGGGGTTTTTTCTTAAACCAACCTTATATATGTGTGTGTGTGTGTGTGTGTGTGTTTTCCCCAGGTCTTGGAGTATCTAGCAGCAAGCAAGATTTTGACATACGACCACATTAATAGCGGCCCCCCCTGTCATGGAATGGAGAGGTTAGAAAATGTCATCTTTGCCACTCCCCCCCCCCCCCAAAGTTTTACCAAACTAGTTGTAGAAAAGTTGGTTAACTTGAATAGAATTCTGTTGTCTAATGGAGCTGAATTTAATTAGATAACAAAGTTGTAGATATATGGCGCCTTTTTTTTATGCAAATATGGGAGCCTCCATTGAAGTTTGGCTAAATTATACCCAATACCTCTAATGTTTTTAAAAAAATTACACTTGGCTTTCTTTCAATGTGGCTGAATTATACCCAATACCTCATCATAGCTGGTTTTGTCTGCAGCCTTAGGGAGTCCATGTTGTCTCTGACAGAGCATGATGACAAACAGGTATGTGTTGCACCAGGGGTTCACATATGCTTTATTTCCATTTTAGTCAGGTTGTGTGTCCATCTCCTTCAGAATGTCTGCAGAAACATGCTGGGACTTTTTTATTCCCATGGGAGCATGTTTTTCATGGGTGAGGACCATTAGTCCTTGAATGTTCTTATTATTCTTCTTGCACATTCAGGTCCATCAAATTGCTCGAAGCTTTCGGGACAGATGGATTCGCAGACCTTTCAAAAGACATGGTTATGTGGACCGAGATGATTTCAAGGGAGAATCTCATAGGAATTTTAACTGCAATAGATTTTCAGCACCACAGAACCATAGGCGGGAGCTCGATGTGAGACCTAACGAAGCAACAGATTGTGCCCAGCAATCAAAACTTGTGACAACTTCAGTAGATGTTGGTTCCCAGGAAGGCTGCTCTGCAGTGTCTTTAGATGGGTGTAAAGTTGATGGGACGAAAAGGCGCAAGCGTAAAAGCAGATGGGATCAACCTGCAGAGACAATTTCAAATTTATCATCTAGTCCATGTAAGAAACAAAATGTCGATTCTGGGCTATCAATGCGTGCTGATGCAGCTATTGACTCTTTTGATGGAAGTCAGAACATTACTGAGGATTTCCCCCCAGGTTTTTCCTGTCCTGTTCAACCGCAATTGGATTCTTCGAATGCTTCACCTCACCCTGTTGATCTTGCTTCGCAAAGTGTGGGCAATTCTGGGTGCCCCCCAGATACAGTAATTGGACATCTAAAGGAGAAATTTAATTCTCGCATGCCTGTCTCATATGGAATGCCATTATCTTTTGTCCAACAGTTTGGCACACCTCGTACTGAAATATCAGGGAGTTGGGTCATTGCGCCGGGTGTGCCTTTCAGCCCATTTCCTCCATTGCCCCCCTATCCACGGGATAATAATGACTGTCGACCTTCTGGTTCTACTAATTCTGCAGCTGTAGATCAGCCTATTGAAGTTCAGCAACGGGATATGAGTGGCCCAGTTGGTTGTTACCCTGATGATATTACTCCCAGCACCACTGATACTAGCACTAAAGACGTTGACCTTCCACATGAAGATGATAAACAACCTTATAAACGTTTGAAAGATTCCTCTTGTGATTTGGGAAGGAAGTACTTTAGACAGCAAAAATGGAATAATTCAAAAATACATCGACCCTGGTTCAGGAGGAATGCGTGGGGGTCTAATGGGAACTACACTGCTGGAGGTGTATGCAGTGTAAGCGTAGGAGATGGACCAAGTGAGTCAAAAGTTGCATATTCTTCGGAGGATGTAATCTGTAGAGCGGAGGAAGGTGACAATAATGATGTTTAATAACATTTTCAGCAGCAAAAACAGCATTCATCCAGGGATTTCCACCCTTCATTATACATTAATATATTGTCAATTCATTTGTTCCGATTCAATGAAAATTTGGTTCAATTTCGGAATCCTACTTAATCAAAAGCTCCATCAATGAAGGAAGTTTATCCCATTCCGCCTTTTGCTGTTTGAATATTGATCGTTCCTAATCTTCACGAGGTAGGTGCTTCTCTTTACGAACGATTTCTGAGAATATGGCGTTCCAATGATCAACTATCCGTGAAATATGGATACTAATATCTGTTTCTTATATTAAATTCTCTCTCTCTCTCTAACCTAAAAAACCTACTTAGAACTGAAGGGGATATGGAGTGAGAGATTATATCTACTATCATTTATTTGACAATATATGATATCTTCTATCATATAACTTCCACGCTTTTAATTTCCATAAAATTATTACTTAATTGACTTTTTGATTTATATTTCTTAAAGATACGAAGGCTGCTTGCAGATGAGGTTAGAGTTGGTTCGTTTCCCCCATTTGATTAGGTGTTTACCGGAGTGGATCAAATAAGATTTTTGCTTTGGTGACGAGGCCATGTGCGCTTCATTTTCCCTTGCTGTTGTGCAAATTGCTGAATTTGTTTTCCCCGATAGGGTACTTGTCTTTTCCTCTTCCACCCTTGCGACGTTCTGCTTGAGCATTTGCTTCAGTACTTATTTTGTGTACTTTTGCTTCGTAAGAAGGCTAATGCAATCTGAAATTTGAGTAAAGAAATAAATGACGGATAGAACTTGGTAAAGTTGGGAAAGAACTGCATAATCGGACAACTTTTTATCTCTGTTTGATGGTTCAAACAGGCTTTGAAGGATTAGCATGTTATGAACTTTTTATTTTAATTACAAGTACGTTTTGTAAGTTGGGAGGATTAAAATTATTAAATGATTATGAAGTCCTTAATTTTCACGCATTTGGATCACGATGTTTGAGATCCAAATTTTTATCATTCAATTTTCATGGATCCATTAGAAATAATTGTTCATTACCTTCCCCCGGGCGCCGCGGCGCCAGTGTTCATTACCTCTGTCAAAACACGCGCACGCGCACAAGTATTAATTATACAATAGCAGAGTTCTCATCTGAAGAGAGCTCTCTCTAGAGTTCTCCCTTAATGTTTGTGTTTGGTAAGATTTATGTACAGGATCCGTGATGATTGGATGGAGATGCGTGCACAAAAGCCATAGTTCACTTTGAAATCTGCAAGACTAGTCTGTTTCTTCATTAACTCTTGCTGTTTCTTAATCCTATGTAGTATCTACATTTTCATGTTTTGGCACATCGTCAAAATCAGTTCAAAGTTTTCGCTCAACCAAATTAATAGGGTGCTACATGTTTGGGGGCTTTGGAATTGGGATTTACTTCAATAATACTCTCATGTTCCTATTTATAAAGAGAGAAGACATTTTTTAATTATATTTATAGGACACTGAGAGAAAATTTTTTATATAAATGTACAATTTTACCCTTTATTTATTATTATGTTAATTTTGTTTATACGAGGTATAATATATATTAAATAAAACTGAAAGTTATTGAATTTTAAATGAGAGTTAATGAAATTTAAGATTTTTCTTATTCTATATAAAACATGTTGGATGACTCATAAATAGAATCAGAGAAATATGTTATAAGAGCATGCTTTAGGAGAGATACTTGAAAAGGGGTGCTACATGTTTGGGGGCTTCACCCTTTGCTTAGATCTTTTTTTGTGTTTTTTTTTTGGGGGGGGGGGGGGGAGATTTTTGTGTGTGATTCTTTTGCTTTAGCGTACTGGTATTGTAACATGATAAGTGGGGGGGGGAAATGTCACTTAAGCACATGAACACCCATGTTGATTGGTACAAAAACAAATAAATCGTGAATTTTTTTGTCGCTTTGTGATCGCTACTCAAAGTAGAAGATATATTTGAGAGCAAGAATTGAACATGCATATATATGTAGCAAGCTTCCTATCATACGATTCCAGCATTTAAAAAAGAAAAAATCCTTGCTATTCTGTTAATGGAGCAATAAATTCTCTCCTAGGAGTGCGAACAGAGCCATCAAGAGTTAATGAAGTGTAGCTTTTGAAAAGCTAATGAGTTCGAGCAATCAAGAAGAAAATTAATTATTTATCGCACACACCATGAACTTGGATACCGTAATGTTTTAAGTATAATTCATCATGGAAGTTCCAGCAGGAAAAAAAAAAATTCATCATGGAAGAAGGATTACCGATACAAGGTATGGTTGATAATGGCTCCTGATCATCAAGAAGAAAACGTGAAATTTGTTGTCCACACAAGAAATAGGTGCCTTGAGAAAAGGCGAGCTTGAATTATCAGCAAACATGAGACGAACAGATCAGGGAAAGGAAATAGTTATCTGATTACAAATACAAAAGTTTGCTTTATCTTATTCTCTGTTCACGTATAACGGCAATCACTTGGCCTTAGCCAGACCACAAATCCTTTAATTCCTCCCTCCTCTCACTCTCGAACAAATTCCAAAAAAGGAAGAAAACACTACTAACCTTTTCCATGCCTAAGGTAGACAAGTGACCTTCACGTATGGCTGAGGCACAAAAAAGAAGGTATATTATGAATACTCCTTTTTCTGGAAAAAAAAAATACAAAAGGCTATTCATTTATTCAGCCAACCGAGCCATGCATATGTACTTCACTAGTATTTCTTTAGCAAGCTTCTAATCCGAACACAGCACCACGTTTTCAATAACATTTTATGCTTTCTCCAACCATCAAAATACTTGCCAATCACGTTTTTATAGCTAGGCCTCTGCTGAACCAACAGCCAGTACTCAGCAGTGTTTGGTCTGTCAGCTATGTACTCATGTTCTAAATCCAAAAGCACCAGACGAGCCAACACAGGGATGAGCATCACATCGGCCATAGTGAAATCTTGACCTGCTAAATAAGGCGTTTCACTAAGCTGCTTCTCCACTTCATCAAGAAGGATAACCAAGTGCTCCTTGCTCCTCCTCAACACATCAGGGTCTTTTAATTTTTCTTCCGTCTGATAAGCTTCTTTCAACTTCCTGTGGTAAGCTCCAGCTAGCTCGGGGGATTCAGACATTCGAGCAATCACCACCCGCCTTATAAACTTGGAGGTATAAGTGCGATATTTATCTGGTATATGGGAGAGTGTGAAAAACTTGGGATCCCACTCTTGTATCTTTCTCATCCATTCAACAACTTCCCTGCCACTAATACTGATGCCCTCAGCGCCAGAGGATACCTTAGCAATTCTTTCTATGTACCTGAAAACCCAACGGCATTTTAAACCCTTTGCTTATTATAAATGCATTTATAAGCAAATGCAAATTCAATGTCTTATTCAACCAAGGTGAACAAAGGACTCAATGATTAAATTTTATGAAGAAATGATTAAAATTTGTCCACCACCTTGAGTGGATACTGCCTCGAGGTAAAGGTTTTGGAGAGTCTAGATGAATGAATATGTGGAGAGCGGGTATCCGTTAGCAATAAAGTTTTAACTTATTTTCATCTAGAATTTTAGATCCCAAACAGCTCTTAAAAAAGTTCAATCCTTCTTTATATAAATCTGTTCAAGTCAAGGATAAAAGAATATATGTTAAAGCGAGAAGAAAGGGCATACTGGATTATATCAATAGTGTCGTAAAGGATGTGGGAACCATTTTGGAAAACAGGCAGCTTGCCACTAGGATTCATGTCGAAGAATGCGGCATCCAAATTCTTGCCTGTAATGGGATTGACATGGTGAGACGTATAATCAATGCCTTTCTCTTCCAATGCAAGCCTCACCTTCTGGCTGTTCAAATCAAAAGGATGATGATATAAATGCATTCTGTTGTCAGCTCTAAGAATGTTGCATGTACTGCTAAATCTTAAGCGAAGGTGCACCAACTCCCAAGATCACACAGAAAGCATAGAGATAGCACATTGTAGTCTTATCTGAAAAGGAAAACACTCCAAATTATTATAAAGAACCATTATATATGACAACTCAATTTCTTCCACAGAAGTTTATGAATTACAGCACAAGCCAGAGAACTAAACAGCATCAGATTAAACGGGACGAGACGTAGGCCAAAAATAGAATAAAATAAATAAGTAGCTTTCTCTAGTCACGGTAAATATACATCATTTGGTGTAGAAACCAATCAGCTTAGCTCAATATCACTTGCTCCAGGGCAGAGGGTCTGTGTTAAAAAAGAGAATGACAAAAAAAGAAGTTGAAAATTACTAAATTCCAAATAAACTTTTGTAACGATACTTTATTTAGTGTTGACAAAACAACAATTTTTTTGTTGACATTCCTTATTTAGCATTTTTTTCCAGCTTTTTTTTTTTTGGTCATTTTCCGGTGTTCAAATTCCAGTCAGGGCGAAAATTAATTTTAAAAAGAAAATACTGATACCAATAGCTAGCTAACAGGTGATGAAAGCCTCCAAGTCAAGTCAAAACTAAAGTCAATACGAGAAAAAGCAAACCGAAGACTGCAATACTAATAACTCTCTCACCCAAAAACCTCAACTTAGTATTTTAGGTGGGAGGAAACATATCTTTTAAGATCTTTTTCCCCTTTGTCTATCAAGCTACAACTATGTAAATAAGAAAGTCACCAAAAATTTCTCCGGCGCATGTAAGATAGAGATTACTATATCTGTGCTCATTAGGATTCAGGGAACAAGAAGGCTTCATTCAGGCACAGATGACGATTAAGTGAATCAACCAACTATAATTTGATGATCGATAAGGAATTAATCCAGCAAAGAAAGAACATGCGTAACTTGATGAATAGGATATAATTTTATTTAAACGAGTTACAATAACAGCACAATACCACTTCCAAGCAGTCGAAATAATTTCCACAAAAAAAAAAAAAATCAATTCACTTGATTACGCGGAAAACAGTCAATTGCTGTAAAAACTTCTAAACCAGCCAAAACACGATCAGGAAGAAATGAAAATAGATAGCCTTGGGCAAAAACAACAAAAGCACACAATATTAAGAGTGAAAAGCATGCCAAGCAAGTTCACAAATCAAAACGAACCAGGGAACGGAGGGAATCAACGAGGAAGTAAGAAGAACTCGGAACAGACACGAGAGAAATACCGAGGAAATAGTTGAGCAAGGATGCTAGCGGAAGGGCTTTGGGAGCCAAAATAAAAAAAAGAGGCGCTCGCGAAAAAGTAACAACGAAAGCGAAGTAAGGCGAACGGTGACCAGAGAGGCTGAGAGTGCAAGAGAGGAGAGAGGAAGCACAAACCAGAACGCAACAATTTGTGACAGCGAGAGAGAAGATTCCATACACCCAACTGCAACTCGTAAACGCGTAAAGACACTCGCTCTACCTTAGTACACACGTTGAACAAACGTAGTATCATAAACTTACAATTTATGTTTTTTATTTAGGATTTCCTTAGTATATTTATTAACATGAAGTTTATATTTATTTTGATTTTAATCTCTTAAATTTTAAATCATAAGTTTTAGTCTTTTGAAAAACAAAATAGTTCAAATTTTTATTAAATGATAAAGACTAATATTTTAAATAAAAAAATTTGAAGGATAAACACATAGTTTAAAACTTAAGAAACTAATATCAAAATGAAAACAAATTTAATTATTTAAAATTAAAAATTATATTAATCCTGATTTATTTATGAAATTAATTATAATTAATTTTTTAAAAAATATTTTTTTAAAATCACTGTTTATGCTTGTCATGTAAACATCTAACAATATATTCTCTCTCGATGCTAAACATAAGTTACGCTAAAGTGAATCTTGTACATATAATTATAAATTTAAGAGATAAAATAAATTAAAATTTTATATTTAAAATCAAAATTAATATTTTCACTTGAGAATGCGTTATCATTTATTTTTATCATAGACTTACTACGTCATCCTTTGACTCCCCAGCAGTCTTCACTGATACTGGCCAAGCTGCTTCTTTGCTTGTACTCCTCCGGTCCTAATTATAAGACTCAATTGATTTATTTGAGGAGATTAAGGAAATAAGTTAAATTGGTTTTATAATAAATATAGTGTTGTCATTCCTAATATCCTTGCTAATTAAGTATATTGGCTAAAACTATCATTATTAGAAGGATTATCTGGGAAAAAATGCATAAATATAAGAGACAAAATGAATTGGGTCTTATAATTAGGACCAAATAAAAAGTCAAATTGAGTCTTATAATAAGAATCGGAGGAGTATATGCTATTGATTGTTGAGCACTTCTTGAAAGGCCAGCGGAAGTCTCTTTTAGTATATTTACATTTAAATTGCATTTTTATACGGAATGATCAGTTGATGATGACTTGGACTGATTAAGACTCGACCATAAATTATCTTCCTTGTCCACGTCGAATGTCGATCATTTCAATTCACGCCGTAGCCTGTTGTCGTGGGCCTATGACTAGAGTCCCCAACGACGAGATCCTCATGAGAAGACCAGGGAGAGATCCCAATTTATACTAATGATTTAATTATTAAATTGATTTTAGTTTTAAATATAAGATTTATTTTTCATATTTATTAATTTTTTTAAATTATCTTTATAAATATTTTTTTCAACTATACTCAAGTAGAAGATAAAGAAAGATATTAAAAAAATGATTATAATGTTTTAAAAAAAACATATTATATTTGCTTTTCTAGTGGGCTCTTAAGAAGCCCACATATCGACGTTATACAAAATATGAGCGGACCCGCTAACAATGCTCGTTGGGAAGAGGAACTATTTCCTTTGTGGGCCATAGTGGGCTTGAAGAAGCCCACATATTTCCCATCACAGAAAACAGAAGTAGACCCGAAGCCCGAATGAAAGGCAACCACTATATGTGTTTGGAAGAACGATGTAAATTAAATATGAAATGATTTCAAATAATCATTGCTTATTATTAATTTTCAATAATATTTATTTTTCACTCAGAGTCATGCACTACCTCCGGTCCTAATTATAAGAACTAGTTGACTAATTTAAGGAGATTAAAAAAAAGTTAAGTTAGTTATTTGTAATAAATAGCTGTTGTTTTTCCTAAAATATCTTTGCTAATCAAGTGTATTAGTTAGAATTACTATTGTTAGAAGGATTACCTTGAAAAAATGTATAAATATGATAACAAAGTAGACTGGGGTCTTATATTTAGAACTAAAATAAAGTCAAACAAGATATTATATTAAGGACCGGATGTAATAATTTATATAGTTAAAATTGCAGTTGAGTTTTGATTTTTAATTTTAGAAAAAATTTAATGATTATTTATTTGTATTGCGTTTACACACACTCACACATCACAGCTGAAAGTATCTCAGACAGGATGGCTACCCCTTAGTTGGGAAATTAAATTAAAGGCCGATTTCACATTTGATGCCCTTATTCTACTAACAGAAAATAAAACCTCATCTGTTAATCAACTCTTTTATCCAATTGAAGTCGTGCTACGAACATCGCTATCTTGCATCACGGTCTGGACCATAAAATTTTGATATCTAAATTGGTACAATAACCAACTCTAATAAATGAATCAAAACCTCCCCTCTCTACCTCCAGGGAAAAAACCGTATCTTAATCATCTCGTTAATAAAGAAGAAGGTTGTGGGTTTGATTTTACTTGTAATCTCAGTATATATTAATAGTATCTGCCCCTCTAATTGAAAAAGTGATGTGAATATCAAGACAGAAAAGAGGAGAGTGATATATGGTGGAAGCTAAGTTAGGTAAAAGGAGTAGTAGGTCTGAAAATGCCCAACACATCAACATGGAAGGGAAGGGAGTGAGAGATTAACGAAACTGGTGAGGCATAGCCTTCTGCCTTCCACATAAAATGTGACCTCCACCTAACTTATTAAATAGGTACTCTTAATGGACCACATTTGATCAGTCACGTTTGCTAATTGCTCCACCCATTAAGTCTTCTGTATTATAGGCTCCATTTTCTGGACTTCATTCTACCATAAATTAATTAACGCCAGCGACATTTCAATTTGCGCATTTCTTATCATGCCTTGTTTGTTTAAAACCTAATTTTTAGAAATTTTTAACAGTTTGCATCTGCATTCCATTCCCACTTCACCTCCACGGAGTGTTCGCTACAAGTATCATATCTCTAACTACTTTTTGACCCTAGCCAGTCTTCATTGAGAGCAAATGATATTTAAAAAATGCATCGCGGTCTAAGTTATGAGGGGTTCTTGACAATATATACCATAAATGCTCACGAGAAACAAGGTATTGACGGTAGTACGGAAGGTTCTTAGTTAGTCGTCTCATACACTGGGAACCTTCACCTCTCTGGTTCCTTCTTAAGCAAAGATAGATTGATGGGATCTTGTGCATTAATTATCAAAATATATTTGTCGATCTTCCATAGTCCATTCACTTGCATTTTGCTTGACGAGAACGCATTAATAGGAGGATATTCCAGATCATGTTTCCCTCCGCTTAATACTGAGAGTTGTCGAACAAGTGAAGACTTTGGAGTACTGATGAAATAGTACAGGAGAGATGAACAGAGATGATGAATGTGAAGATGATGAGTGAGGTTATTTTATCATAGGCAGATTACAAAATGGCAAAAGATTAACTGTCTTATCCTCTAATAAAGCAAGCCCACCAGCTGACAGGCTTTTTTTTTTTACAGTGAGGTCAAAATGCATTAAAAAAGATAGTTTTAATATATCCAACCAGAAGAGACCGGGCAAAATAAGAAGTGGGAAGAATTGATAGGACAAGTATCTTGTGCAGTAAAGAAATTAACAGTACTAAAATTCCTAAAAAGAAGCATAATATCCCTAGAAATAGCTGAGGAATTCCCTAAAAGTTCTTGGATGAAAAAAGTCTTTAAACAAAAAACTTGCAGTGGAAGATTCCGTGCCTCGTCAGTAGAGAAGAATTAATGATCCATAAAAGTCCAGCTCTGA